GAATTCTAGGTTCCGCTGCCGGCAGCCTCCTCCCCCTCGCTCCTCCTCGCCATCTCCGTCGATTCCACCGTACTTACGCTTCCCTCTCGTTCCTCCGCGCCACCTCCGGCCATCTTCTTCTACGCTTCCTCCGCCTCGTCGTCCTTGTTTTAATGGCCACCAGAACTCGCTGTCGCGGCTCGAAAAACGCCGACGAGGAACCCCCGCCGTCTCGTCTTTCGCGTTGACCACCCCCGGGCACGCGATTTAATTATCACGCACGATTTCGAGCACTTAAATAAGAGGGTAAAATCGTCCACGGGGCGGTATATCGGGCGATCGATTAATCCCGGGGAAGAAAACTCTTTCGGAATCCTTCCTAATCGGCCCGCTAATGGGATTAATAACCGTGAGGTAATAGAATTGGCTCTAATCGATACGAAGCCAATCGTCGGGATTCCGCGGGAACAATTCTCGAAATTATCGCTCGGCGTTCCCCTCGACCGGAGCAACACCGTTTCCAAGTGTTTTTCATCCCCCTTCGCGGCTTCTCCGTTCAGGTTTCCGTAATTAGGTAAACCGCGGCTCTAAGTGCTTCGTTTGCTTACGTGCTTCTCAAAATTTACTCGGTTTAATTAATTCTCGCGATGCCGGGTAGCACTCTTCGGGCGTGCTCGATCCCCGAGATTCGAGGAGTCGAGTCGTCGCGCGGGGGGTGTGGAAGCCAGAAGGCGATGGATAATAGTATCGAACGGACTCGACGAAGACTCTGAAAAGGAACCGTTAGCTCTTTTTACAGGATCTTTCTCGCACTCGGTCCCGGGAAACGTTTATCAGCGCTTCAATTACCGGAGACAATGGACACGTGTGACTCGTTTCGCGAGAGCATCGTTCCCCGACGGTCACGCGTCTCCTCTGCACCGGTTTTCGAGGGAAGAAGCTCCGTTTAACGATCTATACAAAATACAGGGTGTTAACGAGAAAACGGTATTCGACGAACCGTCGGGGGCGACAGGTTGCCGGATAAAAGAGGGCTTAACACTTTAGGGGATGATTTAGGGTCGACGAAACCCCATTACGCTCTTGGTAAAATCACAATTTGTTCGATCTACTTATCTCGTCAACGTTGTTCCTTCCAAGTATCGAGATTCGAAGTAATTTTCACACCCGGTACGGTTCCGTAGACGAAACACGTCGCGTTTGCTCCGCGAATTTCTGCAGCCCTTTGAATAAAATATTCCAGGGAATCGGCGCGACCGAAGAACGGTTCGCGTAAAATTGTTCAGTCTGTTCTTTTTCGCGTTGGCAATTACACGGGCGCCTCGTCAAAGCGTTTAATTCGATGAAAGGGTAGCCGGGTCGCGGGCCGGACGTTTTCCTTTTTTACCCCGCGGCTCGCGAGACCTTCTCTCTCTTCCTTTTCCCCGGAAACGATTCCGCGTTCGTTCCCAGCGGTGCCGGATGCGCGGTCTTTCTTGTCGCGCGTCGACACACCGTGTATTTCTCGTTCGTGTGGTCTCTCACCATCACCGAAACAACCTCTCGTCGCCTTTGCTCTGCAACCAGGGGGGGGACGCCCGTTCCTCCTCAGGCTCGGATTAAAGGGCAGACTCCGGGGGCCTCGCCCCTTCGAGAACCATCCTCCTCCCCGATACCACGCAAAGTCCTACAAATTCTTTCAAACCAAATCCTACCTTATAGTCTACAGTGCAGATGCATCTGCTTTCGAAAATTATTCCAGATTACACGAGTCTCTTTAAACCACCCCCAAGGGAGGTTAAAGAGGGTAGATTTGGGACATGACAAAGACCAGTTTCGCGAATAGCTAGATCTTACTTTGATAGCGACTTACCAACCCTCTAAGTAACCAAATAAATTAAGAAATTTTCAATAGCAAGCGTTTGTAAATATTTCTGAGAGAAAGGAAAGTAGCATCGAAAAATTGCATCCAAGCGAGCAGTTTCTATCGAAATGAATTGTTGAGAATTGTGTGGAGTCCCAGGGCCTGGGTTAACGTTGTGTTCGGTCCTGTTTCCCATACGTGTACGCGTGAGCGCGTCGGACGCGCTCTCGTGCGCCTGTAAACGCGCCGGCTAGGATACAGCCGTGTTCCGTTGTAAACCGGAGGGATCACGCGAGGTTAAAGAAACCTCTCGGCGTTCCCCGGCCCCGGTGCAAACAGGTTCTGCTCCTTTTTCCCTACGATCACCGGAACGAGGCGCATTAACGCGGTGACAGATGGAAATAGATTCGAGCCACGATTACCGTGTACCGTTTCCCCTCGAATTAATGTTTCCGACGTGATCGTTTGAACGGTATCGATGGTTCTCGCGCGTTCCCCGCGGATCCGCGAAGGCGATGGTGTTGTTAACCCTTCGGGTCCTGCCTCCATTCGTAACGGGAAGGTCGGAACCGTGGATCGCGTGCGCGGAACACCTATGGGGCGTTCGAGCTACACGCTCCGCGAACGCGACTTCCGGGCTTCCGCCCGCGACGCCTGGACGACCAGACGACGCAACCAGAGACGGAGAAATTGAATCGCGACGCGAGGTTCGTTTCGTTGAATGCATCGGGAACACGAGTGGGAACAGGAAGAGCGACTGAGAAACAGCGAAAACGAGTTAGAGACAGTTATTACATCGCTGGTAACTCATTAGTAACCCGAGACACTCTCGGTCGCGTGTTGGGGATAACGGTGGTGCACGCAGTTTCGGATGGGGTTAACTTCGCGACACGAGGAAGGATGGAAATTATGACACGATCGAGGGATTTGTTATATTACGGTGATTACGATAGAATGGAGGCAGCGTGACTATGAAAATATGATGTGCACTCGAATACTGGGTCTGTGCTTCTATAAACTGCGAACCGACTTTGTCCACTCGACCAGGGATTTATCGTCCTAAACGGTAACTCACTTTGCGTCGTATCGGCGAGTCTTTCTCTTCGAAAGCTACGGATTGTTTCTCCCTCGTGCTTTTGTCCTATCGGTCGCGTTAAAACACGAGTACTAGGATGGAATCCGCGAATAACCGTATATATTCAACGGATTTCATCGATTCCATTCGACGCTCGTAAAGTTCCCTCGAGCTCGCAGCGTCGCAGCACGAAACGTCCTTTGGAAAAAGCCTCGAGCTTTACTCTAAATGCCACTTTGTACTTTTCGACGGATAGACGAGGGTTCGTCTCGTCGCGGAGGGGGGTTGGAACGAAAAAGTAATAACGAACACCGTGGCTGCAGAATCGAAAACGTTCCCACGGAGTCGTGCAATTTGTACCGTTCGAGGGTCGATCGTTAAACTCTTTCGCGCGCGCGCGCGCTCGTCCACCGATTTTACCAATTTCCTCGCCGCTCGTCGAGTTCACGGGTTCACGAGTTATCCTCGCACCGTGGCCCCCGTCGACAGGTTGACTGCAGCGCGCAGTTCCAAAGTCAATCAAAACTTTTAACGCGATCTCGTTTAATAAGTCAATAAAATCGACCGGGGGGAGATTCAATTTGATCCCGCTTAAATTTTACGCCGTGGCTCGTGCTTTCACGGGGCACCACGTTCGCGAAATACGCGCCCAAGTATCAACCTTAGCCACTTACACCCTTTCGATTCCAACAATCTATTTAAAATTGTTTTCGTAAATAGAATCATATATTTTCTAATGCATCTGCAGCAGTTTAGAAGATTTTCGAATTATTACTCGTTCCCACCTCGTTCTCGCGTGTAAAGGTTAAAAGATTTCGCGAACGCCGTGGAACGGGACGCGATATAAAATCGTTGGGTGGAAATCGAGCACAGAGAAGGCAGTCGGGCATATCCAGCGAGCATCGAGGAGGACGCAGGACAGCGTGTTTAGGGTCGACGACCCTACGGGTACATCCGCGTTCGGCGGTTCGCGTACTTTCCCTCTTTATCTTCCAGGTTGGCTCTATTTCCTTGCTTCCCCGTAGCTACTTCTCGCCGCTTTCCGTTCCCCCTCCGACTTCGTGGCTGGATTCGCGCGCTTTGTCCGTCCCGGGCGCATCGTCTCCGTCGGTCGGCTCGCGTGCCTCGCCGATCGAGGGTGAAAGGACCCTCGTCTTGGTATTTTTTTCCTCTCCGGTCGTTCCTGCTCGCTCTTACGGGGCTCGAGAGGCACACGCGCGCGGCCGACTATACGTCGGTCAGCGACTTGAACGCGAGCAGATAGAGAGATCCGTGGCCGGACAGGATGTCGATATTTCGGTGCACGCCGCGATGATAAATCGCGTAGTATTGTTCCCGTCTACGTGAATGGGTCACTCCGACACGACAATGCGGGGCTGGCAGTTATTTTTGCGGACAGTCTGGTTTATTTAAACGACACCGATCCCGGAGTCGATGGATTTAGAACGGAGTCGCGGACGGATATAAAACGTTCCAGATCTCCTGATCGGTTGTTAATATTTATTCGACGGTGCGTGAACGAAGAGACCCGTGGAAAAGGTTAATAAAATCGTCTGTATCAGCTCGGATGCCAAGAATTTCAACGTCGCTGCGAAATTAATAAGTAATCGGTGTTTTAGTCCACGGGGGACCAAAATGGCTGCCCAGAAGGTACCGTGGGCGCTTCCGTGCGCGATTCGATCGAGTCCCCCCGTGGATCGAGGATCGATTCCTCGGTCGGTTCGCAGTGAAAAGTGAAAGTGTCAACCGGGGAATGCGAGAAACACGCGAACCGGGGCTCTCGTTGACAAAGAAACCGGCGGCGGAGGCGAGGCGCGCGTGAAACAGCAGTTTCAGAGATCAATGAACGATTGTTCGTACCTCGCCTCGCCCTCGCATCGTTCGTGTTCTACAGGTTGCCGCGGCACGCGTTCCCCGTGTACACGTTCTTCTTCTTGTTGATTCTAATCGAGAGTGCTTCGTTCTCCTTATCCACCGACGGGGCTCGTTCGTTCGTACCGCCTCTTTTTTTATACAGCCTCCCCCGCGTCGTATCCCGTTCCCGAACGATCTATCCTAGTCGATCGTTGACGGATTTAACGGAAACGGTGTCTTCTGTTGCAGAGATTTGGAAGGGGACCTGAGATTGTCCGAGGACAGCGACGATGAGACGAACAAGGTAATCCCTGTCGCTAAATTAATTAACCAGAGCCCCCAGCGCGCTTACTGCTCTATCGATCTCTCCGTACACGTTATCGCGATAGACGCGCTCCGCTTGCACCATAAAATTTAGTTCATCGAGCGTACGATGGAAGTCGGGTATTTGGCTTTCCCGGGGCTTTCTCCCATGTTTTGGAAAATTGGGATTTTTTACGCGAAAAAACACGTATTTTTTATTTGACTTTTATCGCGAATAGTGCGCGTTGCTCGCGTGTTTGCACGCTGTAGACGCGTCGAGACGCTTTCGTGTCCGCGAGCGTACATTTGAAATCACGTATCGAGTAATTTTTAGACGGCCGCGTTGGAAAACGTCCGTCTGCAAAGCGTTAATCGACGAGCGGTGATCGATGGAGCGCAAAGGGCGGCGTTTCGCTTTGCCGTGCGAAATTAATTGGTAATCGTTCTGATCTTTTTCCGCAGGGAACGACGTCGCGGACAACGAGGGGAAGCAGAAGCCCCGACCTCACGGTCGAGTAAGTATCCGTTTTGTCGATACAGTCGTTAATTAGCGCTAGTTTTCATAGTTCGATCCGCCATCGCCGAAACTACCGTCGCGTACCGGCTATTTCCAACGATTCTTCGAGGCGGTCGTCGCCGCGTTATTTGTCCGTTTTCCCCCCGGTGTTCCGTAAAACGTAGCGGGCTGTTCAACGAACCGGTACTTTGTATTTACTCCAATTAACGTTCAATGGAACTCGTTTTCCCCCGTGCTTGCAACAGTCGGCGACGTTTCAACGTATCGTTTCGCGATCCGCGCGAGATATCATAGCGGATACATTAATGAATAAGTCGAGGGAGTCTGTTTTAAACCGCAGCATTCTCGGAGTTTCGAAGCGTACGAGGCGTATCTACCAAACCGTACGACGATGGGAGGCCTCTTTAACAAGTTCGCCGCAGTATTTCCCTTGACTTCCCGTTCACGCTGAAAAACCGCTCGGAAACGTCCTCGAGGGGGGTTGTCGTTCGTCGCGTTCACCGATTCGTAAGATTTCGCGCTGTAGGGTACGCCGGTTGCAAGCAGTCCTTGTTCCTTATTAAAAAAATCCATAGTCGCTGTTGATAACGAAAGGGTTGAGGAAGCGTGAACGGAACGTCCCGGTGTCGATCATCGGGGGCTAACGAACTAATTCTGTTCGCAGTTTGTCGACGCCACTGATACCGGCGATGACACCAGCACCACCCCCTCTGGCGCCCATGTCACCCATGGGGTTGTCACCCGTGGGACCCTTGTCGCCGACGAGGCCGCTAAGTCCACCCAGGCCGTCGTCGCCGCCGGCGAAGCAGATGACGCCCGAACGAGTGTTGTCGCCTCCGGCGGTCAGTCCTCTGCAGTCCAAGGTCTCGACGAGCCCGACGATCCATCAGAGGCCGCCCAGTCCACCGGGCCAGGTGCCCCAGAGTTCCGGAAGCGCGAGCTCCAGCTCCGATTCCGGTTCCGATTCCGGCTCGGACAGCAGCGACGACTCCGAGGACGACACCGGCGCCCAACCCGCCAAAGGTCCCTCGACGCCCCCCTCCCTGTCACCAAAGAACGACAATCTGATCGAGGAGCCGCCGCCCGCGATAGAGGAATCAAAACCCAGGTGGAACCTCAGCTCCTTCTTCAACAAGACGGCGGTGCCGCACGGCGAGCAGAACTCGGAGAACAAACAGCCGCAGGTACGTCTCGGCGTCGCTGAACCCTCGTCGAGCTTTTCTCCTGACCCGTGGCTTCGTTTCCAGGACTGCAACAGGCGGCAGAACTCACCCGTGGCGACCACCGTGCCCAGGACGCACAGGGACAAGACCGCGGCGCTCGATTGGAAGCTGGACGAGGCTCTGAAGAGGACTCACAACGCGACGATGATCAGCCTGCTCAGCGACAGCGATCACCACTCGGACCAGGACAAGAGCCAGTTGGTGGCGGAGACGCGGCCGCAGACGGAGAAACCAAAGGTGGCGGACGCGAGGAAACGCGGACGACCCAGGAAACCGACCAAGAGCCCGAAGGCCGGACATCGGACGACGGAGGACACGCTGAAGACCGGAAAGCCACGCAGCAGAACGCGGGGTGTCGGCAGCCCGGTGAAGAAGAAGCAGCCGATCTCCAAGGCGACCATCGCGACCAGCGACGATGGCAGCGACGACAGGTCGCAGGGTGCTTCGAGCGCGTCCGACAGCGATCGTCCGACCAGGGTGTCGCCGGTGGTCGCTGCCGTGATCAGCGAGAAGAGGCGGACCAGATTGAGCGGCTCATCCAGCGAGGACGAGAATCCGACGAACGTTAAGCACAACAGCGCCTCCGAGGACGACACCACGCGATGGAGGAGAGTACCGATCAAGAGGAGCAAGCCCGCGGACTCGCCCAAGAAGCAGGAGAAGAAGAAGAGCCCCGCGAAACCGAAGTCCAGGAAGTCTAGCTCGAGGGTGGCCAACGTCGGCGGGTCCGACTCGGACAGCGAGTCCGAGGTGTCGGTGAGGAACAGCCGTATCCAAGTCGCGAGGTGAGAACATTGTTTGTAATAGTATTTTTAATTTCGAAATACGTAGCGCGCTCGATGTTTTAAATACGAATTATATTTGGTACCGAACCGTGCACGAATAGCATCGTATCGCGCGCCATATGTTCGCTGCCCCTGTTGCGAGGAATGTCATTATTCACCCCTCTAAATATCATTGAAATCTCCGGCGGGGCAGCTGCAGTATGCCCCTCTTGTTAGAAGCGATCGCATAGGCGGAGGCTAGAACGGTCAAAAACATTTGATCGTTTCGTGTTAACAGGGTACCTCCGAGGCCAAGGGCGCCTCCAACGCGGACGACTTCTCCGGAGAACTCGGACAGCGACAACAGTCCAGGCCCGAAGCTGCAAGAGGAGGACGCCGGGAACGTGCAGGACAAGAAGAAGAGCGACACGCTTCGCAGGGTGTTCTCTACTTCGGTGGGCGGTGGGAAGGGCGGCGGTAAGGGTGGAAAGGGCGGAAAAGGCGGGGGTAAATGTGGGATTTACGTGGAGGAGTACACGACGTCCGCGAATACGCCTACCGGGGGTGAAAGCCCTTACAAAAGGCCGTCGTCGCAGGCGTCCAGCATCATTCAGTCGTTCCCGCCGCTCACGTACGTGAACGGCGTGTCGAGTTTGTACTGCAGGATCGACCTGAGCAGGCTTCCGCATATATCGCAGCTATCCAGGGGTCAGGAGCTGAGACAGCGCACGGAGCTGCCGGACACGAGGCCGTCGTCGCGACAGGCGTCCGCGTTGGCCGCCCAGGCCCCGCGGCCGCCCACGCCGGAGGAGGGCGAGATAGTGGACACGCCGCCGCCTCAGCAGCTGACCACGGACACCAGGAGTCACCACGGGGACGGTTTGTTGGGGGACGGCGATCACAAGAATCGCGCGGTGATCAAAGGCGAGCCGATCTTAGACTCGAAGAACAGTTGCGGCGGTGTCGTAGGCGGAGGTGCTAGTGGGGGTGGTAGTGGTGCTAGTGGCACGGGTAGCGCGCCCAAGAGGAAACGTAATCCGAGTTGTAGTTCCGTGTCCAGTTTGAGTATTGTGTGTTCGGTGGAGTCGAAGGGTAAGGGTACGGGCGAGCACAAAGAGAAGAAGAAGAGGAAAAGGAAACACGCCGACGTAGAGGCTGTTCTATCGAGGCCATCTTCCAGCCAGGTAAACCACGCCAAAGTTTCGCCAATAATCTTTACGCGCGAGCGACGCTCGTATCGCGTCTACGATACGGCGACGCTCGACGTAGCTAAGCGTAATGTAAATATCGTTGAACAGCAAAGCGATATACAGCCAACGAATCACGAACGGGAAGAAAAGCCCGACACGAGTCTATTGCCGCCCCCGCCCCCGCCTCAGCGCGTCTATTATTCCTACTTCAATCCTCAGAACGAAGTGTTGGAGGATCAGGATAGGTGGTAAGTGTAGGTTCCATCGGCGGCATGGTGACCCGGAACGAGGCGGTTATATACCCGATTCCGTGATCGTAGGGACCAGAATCAGTACCTGATGGAAGCGAAACGGCTGAAGCACAGCGCCGACAAGGAGTGCGAGCTCACGGCGCAGGGTATGCTTTACCTAGAAGCCGTTCTCTGTTTCCTGCTCACTGGCAATGCCATGGAGTCGGATCCTCTCACCGAGAGGGCGTCGTTCACCATGTACAAGGATACTCTTAGTCTCATCAAGTGAGTACATCTCTAATTAACCGCGAACCACCGCGAAGAGAGTACTTCCTAATTAAAGCGATCTCCGATTTCCCCTCGCCCCTACCCCTCTAGGTACATCTCCTCGAAGTTCAAGAGCCAGCAGAACAACTCACCGGAGAGCAATATACATAACAAGCTGGCCATTCTAAGGTGAGTGCAGCCACTTCGAGGCTTTCCTCTATCGCGCGATTGCGTTTCAAAAACGCTGTTGTCCTGCTTTTGTTGTTACAGCCTCTTTTGCCAGTCCCTCATATACTTGAAGCTCTTTAAGATGCGCAGACACGAAGTGAAAGAGAATCAAAAAATTCTCACCGACTATCATCAGAAGGTGAGCACACCGTGGTCGTGGCGGACAGCGTCGCTCGTCCTTTGCCGTGATCCATTTAACGGACCGTCGTTCTTTCGCTATGCTTTCAGCCCGCTCAGGCGACCCCGGTGCAACCGGAAGGACAAGGAACGCCTTCTCTGTCGCCGACACCCTCGCCGGCCGGTTCCGTGGGTTCCGTCGGTAGCCAGAGCTCCGGGTACAGCAGCGGCGAGCTGGCGAACCGGGGGGCCGCTTCCGGTCAGCCTCAGGTAGCGCCTTACGTTAGCGTTCCGCTCAGCGCTCACAACGCTATGGCGAAACAAAATCATCATTTTGGTTTGCTGCTGAGTTGTCATGATCTCTGGGACCAGGCGTACGCTCTGGTAACGGACAAGCATAGAGGTGAGCATCGAGAATCGTTAGAGCGACGGACCAAAGGAGGGTTTAGCCTGGAACGATAACGAGACGATACGGTTCGTTTTTGTTTCCGTGTTGCAGAATTCTTCATCGAGCTGGATGAGAAATTGGGACCCCTCACGTTGAAAAGTTCGCTGCGCGATCTGGTGCGTTACGTTCAGGCTGGCATAAAGAAGCTCCGAGATCTCTGACCACAGTGGCATAGCCCCCGGCCACCCACCCCGAACTACATCACTTCTCTCCCGCAGAACATGGCCACGTATCCGACGATGTTCACGTAGAATCGGTCGCGACGCGTCGAACGAGCTTCGCGGGATTCGGGACTAGCTACGGAACGCCACGGTCCGTGCGCCAGCGGTGTGTGATACGCGTTAGACAAATTTCGGAGGAGCGGAGGAGAGAGAAGTCGAGTTCGTTCTTAGCATGCAAGGACCGTTCTCTCGTTGGGGGTGGCAAGAAGAAAGGAGAACCGGTGGTTGTGGGGGGAATATCCGGCCGCGAGTATGAGCGTGGGGATTGCACTCGCTCGCACCTAGGACAGCTAAATCAGTTTCTCCCTTTTGGATCGCGTTCAGTTGAAGCGCCCCGGCATTTTTTGTTCGACTCTTAGGCATCAACTTTAGTCAATTCGAAGCGACTCGTCTAACCGGTGAAGGGCCAGAGATGGGGATTCCCGTGGATCCGTTCCCGATCGCGCGGAGAAACTACACCCGGTACACTCTGCGCGTAGCGTGCATTACTTATTCTTGGAGACGAGGCTTTATCGCCGATGGAATTATGTGGAGACTGACGGCGATGCGAAATCGGAGAACGATAACGGAAGATAATAACACGTACGTTCGAAAAGTTAAACGTTCTTTTGTTTGTAAATTATCGAGATGAATCGAAATCGAGGGGAAGTAAGACGAGGGGGAAGGAGGGAGAAGGTAGAGTGAAGAATATAACGAAGAAGGAATAAGAAGTGCCACAGAAGCGCCCGTGTGTTCTCGCTTTACGGTGCGCCGCAGCCGACGTTACCTGAAGCATGAGTTTCGTTTTGGCGATTCGAGTGCGACGAATACACAAGGATATATACATATATGCATATAGTTTATTACCTATATAAATATATAAATAATTATAAATATATATATTATATATATACATAGATATGAATATATTTAATGAAAAGAGAGAACCAACGCGTCACGCACGCCTGAGTTTCGTTTTTAGCAAAAAAAAAAGAAAAAAAAGAAGAAAAAGAAAAAGGCGGTCGCGAGATTCGTGAGGTTGGGAGAGAAAGAGAGCGAGAGAGAGAGAGAGTGAGAGAGAATGTGGGTGAATTGGTGCGATGTATTTTCTCTTCGGGTGGAGAGGGATGTGCGCCGCGCGCGAGCAACAAGATCAACGGTCGATCACGATCGACGCACTATAAACGAAAATACTATTGTCGAACGTCTACGAACGACGGACGCACGACTCTTTTTGTAGATAGGTTACAGAAAAAAAAAGAAAGAAAAAAGGTAACTTAGATTAGATAATTAATACGCAACAAGGAGGAGGACAGAGAGAGAGAGAGAGAAAAAAAAAATGAAGAGTTAAACGGTAACAAAAAACAAACCAACCAATACACATATTATTTATATTACTTAGAACTTAAACGGGGAATAAGTAGAGGTTCTAGCGATGAGAAACAAGAAATAAAAAAAAGAATATTCAGATAATTGTACGTATAGCGCATACCACACACATTATACATAGTGCGATTAAAGGAGAAATAATAATAATAATAATAAATTTAAAAAAAAAAAAAAAGTGAGAAAGGAAAGCGAGAGAACAAGGCACCGCCAGGACGCGAAGTAATAAGAGATCTCGCGTGTAACGGAGGGATAGACCGCGCGCACGCTCTCTCGCGTTACACGGGACGCAGAAGAGGAATTTAATCGAAGGAAACAAAGGAAAAAGAAAAAAAAAAGAAAACAAGCGTAACGGATAAGCAAGTTGCTCATGTGTATATTTTTGTAAATAGGTATTTGCGAGTGCCGCCGCCTTGAGGGCGGCCTGTCGACGCGTCGCAAAGCGCGCCAGGCCGGCCCGCCCCAATTTTTGCTACCACAAATCTTATCGAGAATCAGGAAATTTCTGGTAAAAAATGAAAGAAAAAAAATATTAAAATACACGAACACACAAGATGTTACAGACATGTCCGCCGAATTTGTCCCGAAGGTTCTTTCCGAGTCTAGTTCTTACTCGTAACACTAAGATAATTATTTTTCTTTTTTATTCGTTTGTCGATCGTACGTACTCACTCTTCATCCGCGCCTTCCACGAAAAAAACGAATTGGTTCCTGTCGTCGTTTCCGTTAGCGTATCGCTACTTTCTGCTTCCTTTCGTTTGGTTTTGTTTTTTCTTTGTTTTTCCGTTACCGACAGAAGCGAGCGAGAAACCGTTTTGTCGCAGATGCGCGCGCTATTCACGCGCGACTTTCCTCTACTTTCATCGATCCACCGACTGCGTGGCCGAGGGAACGAAAAAAAAGGCTTGAAGCGAACAAAGTATACGAGGGCCTGAGCGTTCACGTGCTTCTCTGTCTTTCTCGATAAAAAAACGGCGAATTCGATTCGATCGCGCATTCGCGACCGGAAATAGAAACGGGGGACGTCGAAGAACGGAGCGAGAAGCGTTAGCAAACGATCCCGTCGGCACACGGACGCGCGAAAACACCGATATCTTATCAATCATTGGACCACTTATCGTCGAAGCAAACTTATCTCGAGAACCACGGTCGAACATATCCGAACGTAAAGCTTAACCCGATCGAAAGAGCCGTCTTTTTTTTCCTGTTCGTTAGAAGTTAAAGTTGGACCAATCTGTCGTTCCGTGGTGGCCGAATCGGTCGGTTTGCTAACACTTTTCCGAGCTTGGAACCGCGATCGAGAACAACGATTGGGCTACGGTTGACGAGATCACGGGGACCCATAGAGTTACTAAGCGCGGTCCAATGGTTCACGGGATACAATTTTATACCTCGCGTGCGCGTGCACACGGACGCAAAGGACAAGGAGAACTAAAAAAAGACAAAAAAAAAAAAGAGAAAGAGAAGTCTATTAAAAAGTTTTGATATTTTCGAGACACATATTTATAGCGGATACGTATATAAATATCAGGCCCTTCGTCTCGTCAGCCGGTAAAACGAGCACGCGGGATCGAGCGATCGAAATCGAACGCGTTTCACGCGCTTTTATCGAGAAATGTGTTGGTCGCGTGCATGGGTGGTTTTCTGCGTGTGCAAACGGGTGTGGAACGAGCGTAATCGTCCGCGGTTTTCCTTTTTTTTTTTTCTTTTTCTTTTTATTATTATTATTATTGTTACTATTATCGTTGTTTAAAGTAGTAGACGCAGCGGACCTCGCGCACAGAGGCATTCTTTCTTTACTTTCGGCGAGTCTACGGTTCCTACTTGACCTCCAAAGACGAAAAGCGAAGGGTGCTGTCGTTCCGATTACTATTGCCACGTAGGGGTTTGGAGGACAGACGGTTCTTTTTAAATGTTTATCTGGACGCGATCTTTTCTTGTTTCGTTGTTTTTTTTTTTCTTTTTTTTTCTTTTGGTTTGTCATTTGATCGACTCCAGGTCGGTTCGCGTGAACCTTTGCTACGGTTTAAAAAATGAAATTTTATCGTCACGCGTATATTATCATTATTATCGCAACCTTTATTATTAATTTTATTATATTATTAACATTATTATTATTAATATTATTATTATTATTGAGTTATTGGTACTACAAACGTTATATTTCGAGGTATTTATACGAATGAATGGGATGGATCGTGAGGTAACGAGAGTGTTGGGGGGGGTTTCGCGTGTCTGCCTGAGTGTGTGTTTGCGTTTGTACGGGAACAGCGTGAGGATCGAGAGGGGGGAAGGGGTCAAAGAGAAACAATGCAGGTCGCGACGACGGTTTGTACATTGTATCCGACACAGCAGCAAGAAATGGTTTTTTTTTCGACGGGTTTGATGGAAGTTTGTCGAGCGTACATATTATATATACATATGTATTATACATAATAATCTCGAAGTTCAGTTTAATTGCCGTTTGATTTTTGTCTTCTTTACCCGCTACGCCGTAAACTGTAATATAACTGTTATATACATGTATACATGCAGAAACACACACAGAGACACGAACACGAGCATATATAAACATAGACATGCAATCATAATTATATTGTTATATAAATAGTATTATATGATAATTATTTTACTATACTCTCGTATACGGTCACACTGCGTGCCACCAAATTCCGATGCTAAACGCGTTGCTCCGGCTGGAGAACTCTTCGGCCCCTCGCGAACGTGCCAACGAAAAAAAATAAATAAATAAACAAACGATCGGGTATCTTTTAATCGTCCGAGAAGCGTGGAGAGGTGGGGGTGGAGAATCGGGGTTCAGTGAAATTCGCGGATAAACCTTTAACGAACATTTCTAAAAAGATAGATCTATATTTCTATTTCGAGAGGAAACGGAACGGGGTCGAAGAGGGCTCGTCTTTCACGGTGACCGAGCAGCCGTGTGCGTTGGTAGCAACGAGCAATGCACAAGCAATTTAATTAGTTACGTATCGCGTGACGGCGATCGACGCGCGCCTAGGGGTGGACTCTGTTCACGATTCGAGGGGCAGTCTCCGAGCGAAACGGTAAACACGGCCGTGCCCCGAGAATAGAAAAGAGATCTCGTCGTCTCTTTGTCGACCCGGCGGCCGGGAACCGTGCGTGCAGTTTCCGAATGCAGACCCGACACCGTCACTCGTCAGAGTCCCCCGGCTCGCCCGACTTCCATTCGCGATCGCCGATAATCGCGCGTCGATCCGCCACGCTTCGAACACGGGGATCGTCTCGGACGACGGCCGGACGAACGAGCACCAAGCAAGCAGTTTTTGCAGGATTGCAAGGGAGGCAGCGAGAGAGAGAATGAGCGTGCGAGTGACTGTGTGGCGCGGCTTGCTGTTGCGGAAGAGAGCGTTGAGACAGAGGGTGAGGAAAGGCAAAGGGAATGGAGAGATGGGAGCGTTTCGTCCTGGGTCTGCTAGCGGGGGACTCATCGACCCTGGCAGGCCCTGCCTTAGACGCCGGGACATTCGATGGTCGGTCGTGGAGAGCGTAAAGGTTGAACGTATCCCTCTGTTGGCGAGTGCGGGGGACGTCGCCGATAACGCATGAGAGAGATACACGACGGCGGAGAAAGGAGCAATAAAGAGATACATAGAACGACAACCGCACCAAAGAGAGACCAAACTCGCTTAACGAAAGATAATTACTTGCTTTTTATTTATTTTTATTATTAATGTTGATTAATTATTGTATTTATTGGCGCGGAGGGCCGAGACACCTACCGCGTGCTCGGTCCAACCCCTACCGTCCCCGTCCCTCCAACCCTATCCCTGGAACAAGACCCAGAGGTTTCTCGATCCTATTATAGATCATCCTGAAAAGACCAGATCGCGCAACGTGTAATTTAGTCCACCAAAATTCGGTTTAATAGTTTTGATTCGCAATTTAGGCTCATGGATCTACGAACATTTCTCCTCGCCTCCTCCCTTTTACTTCCTTCACCAACTTCAGAGCCCCCGTTATTGCTCCTTTCTTTTCGATCGTGACACCGCTGTGTTCATAAGTCTTCCAAGACGGAGGATGCCATTTCGCTTTCTCATCCCCGTGCTCGTGCATTTCGTATCCGATGATAATTATAGTAGGCGTTTAACAAACCGATAATCCGTAGCTTGACCTGAAATCGCAGGGGAAAAAGTATCTTCAACACGGTTCGTCGATACGCACAAGCTCGATAAGAACAACCTCCAGTGATTCTTCCCTCTTTGCGTTTCCCATTCGCGACGCCTTAGAAACCCGAACAATATTAGCCCCAACAGTCTTTGTCTGTTCCGCAGATTGTCCAAAATTCGAATTGTTTTCGCCAGCGTTCCTGAAAAGCTTTCGAAAGTGCCTATCTACCAACGAATGTTATTTTTTTATCATCTTCGGTCGGTTTCGTTCGGATCGAAAGATCGACGCGTCGTTTCCTCGAAACAGCAAAATGTCGCATCCCTCCCATCTTCTTCAGACAGTTTTCATAGTGGCGAAACGACTCGTATCTCTTCGGTGAGGTTGCTCACGTTTAAAATACATATTTTGCGTTTGTCGCCCCGAAACGTTTGCTTCACGGTACTTCTCTGGCGAAAGTTTCTCCATTTTCGTCCCGGTATTATCGCGATACCAGCTACAGGTGTAAACGCGTCCATAGGCACGTGGAATGGCAACCCCGTGCAGTCCTGCATCCACATTTTGCTCGCTGCTCCGAACAAATGGCTCGCACCCGCACTCGCTTACGGATGCAAACCGGAACTTTTTTAACCGGCTTTTTTATCTATTTTATAGTAATCTCAGCTTAAGCAGATCAAGAGAGAGAGAGAGAGAAAGAGAGAAATAGAGAGAATGAGACGATTCTTTTGATAAAAGTGAACAATAAAAAGTGGAGAGAAAGGAAGAGACGACAGAGAGAATGAGAGGGATTTATGCGCAGCTGACGAACGGTTTGTAAATTGCGTACATAACAAAATAATAGGTAAATACCGTCGACGAAAAAAAGCAAAAAAAAAAAAGATGATGGAGACACGGTTCACTATGTCGTATGCTCTACGTTTTGTTTGTTTTGCGCCTTAGGCTTGCATTATGATTAATCTGATTATTATTATTATTAATTATCACCAACATCGTCATTATCATTATATTCTTATTATTATTATTATTAATTTTATTATTAATTTTATTATTATTATTACTATTATTGTGTATATGGTATAAATTGTAAAAAGGAACGTATTTACTATAACATATTCATTTTACGGGATTTACGAGATCCTTCGAATGAACAAATTGTTTAAAATAAAGTGAAGGAATAAATAAAATATTGACCAATTAACACAGACAGTATTCAATGCCCTGCGGCGTGTCCCCCGATCATTGTACTTCGGTTCGTGACTTTCTTTTTAAGGGTTAGCTTTGCAGCGTATGAATAGGGATTATCTTGGAAGCTTGTCACGTTCGAGACCCTTTATTTTATTTATTTATTTTGTTTTTACGCGGGGAAATCCTCATGTATCGGCTAAAACCCCACGATGACCATCCTCAGGCGCCTGGTGAGGGATCGAGAACTCTAGTGACCATCACAGAGTTCCCCGTTGTACCTTTTCAGGCCCCTCAAGGTGGGAGGCACTCCTCTCACCGCATTCTCACTCAACCACAGGCCTTAACCCCCCCACTCGAAGAGGTGGTATGTATCTTATAACTAAGGAAATGATTTGGAGAGGAAAAGAAAGGTAAAAATGATGAGAACACTTAGAATTCTTTGAGACTATCATTTATTGCCGTAGATTTATTTTACACAAATGTTAACACGTATATATCATGTCCAGTAGTTGTCAACACTTGTCAGGAATCGTGTGCTGTTAGCAGAAGTCAGCAGTAGCCAGTAGTAATCGTTATACGTGTTGTCAGAAATATAAGGGGTGGTCAGCAGAGGTCAGCATAGTGTAAGAAAGTGGAACGAGGTATTCCCGATGCACCCATCTCTATCAAGACCGAGTACACCGCGTATGAGTCATGCAACATCTCGCTCGATTAGCAAACGCCGTGCAATATAGGTCGAAACAGAAATGCAACAATGTTGGCCGACTACCGGGGAGAGAGATATTCTTGTCGGGATACGTCGTTCACGAATGTGTGAAGCAATATTCTTAATTAAGTCCGCGTCCATAACGGTCGGTAGTTGAAACTCCTGGCCGCGCAGCTTCTACGCAAATGAGACCGGAAGGAGGATAAAAGATCCATTAAAGTCTAATCCATTGCCCGAGGCATTTGCTAAATTAAATATCCTGGTAATGCATGTTCGAATCTAGACCTAAATAATCCAAGGTTAAACAATGGAAAACACGTAATCGGCGCTCGTTACGGTTAACTTTTTCGTACCCGTCGACCTCGAATCTCACGTCGGAGCTTTTTACATCGTCGAAAGAAGTCAGAAATTTATGTCGCGTGTAATTTATACGGCAAGTGCCTGTAATTTTCACTCGTTAAATCGTTATACTTCCGCGGGCTTCTTCCAGGAGTTCTCCGAGCTCCTTCGACTGGAAACTGGTGTCGAAGTTTGCCAAGAAAATGTAGCGGATCGTGAACAGAGTTTTTCTAATATAGTAAATAATTTGAAACACGCCGTAGCATGATTTCCAGGAGGAACGCGACCAGGGACGCGACGAGCCCGAAGATCAGTATGTAAAACGCGAACGCAAGGTCCTTCAGCCTCATCACGTGATAGCCTTTCTTCTCGGCGTCTTTGCTCTTCCCTAGCCACTTGTGCACGTATCGAGTCATCGTCCTGTCCCACGAGTGATCGATCAATCCACCTTGCGACATGTGCATCAACAATTCACCGACCCTGCTCCTCAGCGGCCAATCCGGTCGCACCACCAGGCCGGAGTACAGCGTGTTTATCCTGTGCTTGGACAGATGAAGGTTCTTCTCGAAGGCGATACCCAACAACGTGGACCTGTCAGCCGCGCATGCAACGTTCTCCAACTTGATCACGTAGTCGCTGCAGTCCCAATGCTCCACAGTCTTCACGCGGGAGAAGAGCACGTCGTCGAACACGGCGTTCTTGTATCCGTGGTACGCGTAGATCGCAAACCTGGACGCCTTCAGCGCGTCGATGGAGTCCACCGGAAGCCTAGGCGTCGAGGAAGTCAGCAGGGACGATAGATTGCTCTGAAACGTGGATACCGTCAACATGGACAGAAGGAAAACCGTGACCAGGTAGATCCTTAAGGAACTTCGTCGTGGAAATCGTAGCATCGAGTTGTTCAGCATCATTCGAAGGACTTCCAGACTCGCGTCGGTCGCTCCTCTGCGAAAGAACACCTGGAGGAGGATCACCGTGCCCGAACAGACCAGAAACACTCCCAGGATGAACACAGGATTCATGAACTTTAGGATCTTCGCGTGGGCTGACTCGTTTTCGGGATACCTGGTCAGAATGCTGATCCCGGAGTTCACGTGGGGGTAGGTCATGGTCATGTTAGGCTTGTTGAAGATGTACTGGATGTTCATCAGCAGGTCGTAAACGCCTGACGACACCAGTGGCAGGTATTCGTAGTAGTGGGTGTTGTTGGTGATCCCTGTCAGTCGTAAGCTGGCGTTCAGTTTCGACCAAAGCAACGTGGCGATCGTGCCATCCACGCCGCCTAGTTTCGTCGGCGATCTTTTGGAGAGATCTATCGCGAGACTAGGAGGACTGTGAAGGCCCACTGCGTTCACCGGGTATCCCCCCAGTGTTCTCGTCTTGGAAAAGTCCAAGTTTTCGCACGATGTCCGACCTGCAAGCAATTAGGTCCTCGGAAGAAGCGGGCAAGTTTTGATCGATGGCTTAGAAATGATCTACAAACTCTGGTCGAAGGATTGCACGAGCAGGGTCCAAGGATCGCTATCCTCGAAGTCTTTGGTTGCTTCGCGCCAAGGCGATGGCGCCCACGAGGTGAATGGGTTGTAGGTGTACAGTTGCAAGCCATTTTGACCGACGCATAGAAACGTGGACGACAAAAGGTTTTCTTTCCACGCAATTTTAAGGACCTGACGCGCATTTTGGCAGCCATCTTGCGTAGAATGATCGTCCAGGATGAGGTAAAGCGCCGAGGGATTCCACCATTTTGTACGGCGTAAGTCTTTTATGGTACTTTTCAAGTTATCCGGAGAGTGTAGGATCAATACGAATGTACGTATCTTCCGATCCTGTTGGAACGTCCGTGAAAATTGTTGGAACTTTTCCGTGTCGTTTATGGCGATTAGGGAAACCTTTCTCAAAGATTCTTTCGTCCATTTCATCGATGCGTTCGAGTCTGTTACAATTCCGATATTATTTAGTTCCGGACCCTTGCAAGCACTCAACGCGGTGGTCTATAAACCGAAAATAGAAATATTGGTCTTTTAATCTTTTCGAATGTAAAAGAAATTTTACCAGGGCCTCCGTCAGAACTTCAAATTGGTCCAGATCGATTTGTAACTTCGAGAGTGCCATCGATACGCGCCAGTATATTATCAGGAGCAGAAATATTATCGCGACGTTCATATTTACTGCATCCAGAGTCTCTTAGTATCTTCGCTCGTGCTTTTCAAACGATACTGTCGGAACTTGGGTCATAGTAATTGTCTTACTGCACCAGGGTTTGTTTGCGTTCGAAGATCGATATATTCCTAGTGATTCCGATATCTTCGAATCTTTTCCTAACAACGGACTGTCAAATCCCAGAGGAATTTCTCTATAGTAAACGTCATGGTAACTCCAATTGCTTCGTAGAATCCAATCGATAGAGTGTTGCAAATTGTTTAAGACGTATTGTCACAGATATCACCATTCAGTAATCTTCTATATTTTTAAGTTATTCTGTTTCTGATACATCTTTCGAGATTATACATGTTTTAAACGTAATTATCGCAAGACTCCATAAACGTGGGATGCTGCTTCAAACTGTGCAACAAATTTGCGATTTTACACTATTTTTAAACTACCTGAAATATAATATAAAGGTGCTTGTATCTATTAACGTCTGTAAAGCTCGAAAAGGAAAGCCGCGGTGGCGCAAGCGTATCCGTATCCCAGCAAGTGGAATCCGAAAGCTATGTGCCTCATTTTCAATATCCTGAAGCTCTTCTTGTGGTTTTGTCGTTTCCTCTGCCAAGCTATGTACATCTTCCTGGTGTTGAGTTTCCTCCACATGTCCACCAGCCCGGCCTCCACGATGCTGCTTATCACCTCTGTCACACGATTAAACAACGCCCAATTCTCCCTTGTCACGTAAGCCTGCACGTTCTGCTGTATCCTCTTCGAGTGATGGAGGTTCCGCGACTTTCCCACGTACAGGTGAAGGCAATCGCCCAGACATGCGACGTTTCTCGATCCAAGGACTCGCTCCTTGCATTGGTCGTTGCTGACCCCGTGGAAACGCGACCTCAACACGGAGTCGTGTATCTGTTCCATGTGATAGATCGGCCCGTATATTTGGTAATTCGACTCCTGTAAAAAGATGCGTCGATTCTGATTCTCCATGTATTTTATATCGTCTGGTATTCGTGGCTTTTGGTCATCAGTTATTCAGAGCTAGGGTTAAATTGAACTATTTTGTTGAATAATTATTTGTTAACTAAATACAACAGAGTTTCGATCTAAGATATAAGTTCCAGCCTTCTCGCTCTTGAACAACTGAAATTCGATGGCATACGATTCCAAGTCTCGACTTCTGCCAACCTTCGTTGGCCCCTGCTGACCATTGCTGATCTCTACATCCCTTTACTGGTGGCCAACTCGTGTCAGCAGGTAATGTCATAAAACTGTTTTACCTAGTTATACCCCTTTTTACCTCAAGTATAAGGTACGACTACATGTACTTTTGAATTTTCCTACAGTCCTCCGCTGGCCTCTGCTGACCACGTCTGATATTGCCAACGTCTCTCGTCCTCTACTGGCTTCTGCTGGCCTCTGCTGATCACCGCTTATATTTTTGACAACGTATAACGATTACGACTGGCTACTGCTTGGCTCTGCTCGTCTCTGCTTATCACTACTTGCCACTGCTGGTCTCTGCTGGCCTCCACTGGCCTCCGCTGACCACTGCTGACCACCCCCGATGCTTCCAACAACGTATAATGATTACTACTTGCTACTGCTTGCCCCTGCTGATCCCTGCTAACCCCTGCTAACCCCTGCTAACCCCTGCTGACCCCTGCTGACCACTGCTGACAACCCCCGATGCTTCCAACAACGTATAACGATTACTACTTGCTACTGCTTGCCTCTGCTGACCCCTGCTGGCCCCTGCTGACCCCTGCTAACCCCTGCTAACCCCTGCTGACCCCTGCTGACCCCTGCTGACCCCCGCTGACCCCTGCTGACCATTGCTGACCACTGCTGACCCTTGTTAACAACTTCTGCCATGATATATATGTATTAAAACATTGTATAATGTAAATCTAAGGCAATAAATGATATAATTACAAAGAATTCTATGTGTTGTCATTATTTTTACCTTTCTTTTCCTTTCCAAATCATTACTTTAGTTATAAGACTCCCTGAAAGTCCTTGGTTTCCCTGAACCCACTAGGAAGTCCTGAAACACCTCGGAAGTCTTGAAACTCAGAACTTTGCTAAAAATACAGGGTTTCCAAGAATTTTCGGCGTTTCCAAGAAATTCCAGGACTTTCCAGCTGTTTCAGGACTTTTTCGCTGTTTCAGGGCTTTTTCGTTGTTTCAGGACTTTCCAGCTGTTTCAGGGCTTTCCAATTTCCCGAAAAATTCAAAGTTTCAGGGCTTTTTCGTTGTTTCAGGACTTTCCAATTGTTTCAGGGCTTTTCAGCTGTTTCAGGACTTTCGAAAATTTCAAAGTTTCAGGGCTTTTTCGTTGTTTCAGGACTTTCAGCGGTTTCAGGACTTTCCAATTTTTCGAAAATTTCAAAGTTTCAGGGCTTTTTCGTTGTTTCAGGACATTCCAATTGTTTCAGGACTTTTTGACGAAAAAATTTAAAAGTTGATTTTTGATTTTGGCAGCAAGTACGAGACTCAAACACTTTGGGAATCCAATTTTAACCGGAAAAACGGTCTCTTAAAACTAAGGCAATGATTTGGAGAGGAAAAGAAAGGTAAAAATGATGAGAATACATAGAATTCTGTTAAATTATATCATTTATTGCCATAGATTTACATTATACAAGGCTTGAATACTTATACATCATGTCAGAAGTTGATAACAAAGGTCAGCAGTGGTCAGCAGGGGTCAGCAGGGGTCAGCAGAGGCCAGCAGAGGGATGCAGAGGCCAGCAGAGGGATGCAGAGGGATGCTGAGGCATGCAGAGACCAACAGGGGCAAGCAGGAACACGTAGTAATCGTTACACGTTGTCAGAATCATGAGGGGTGGTCAGCAGTGGTCAGCAGAGGCCAGCAGAGGCCAGCAGAGGGATGCAAGGGCATTCAGAGACCAACAGGGGCAAGCAGTAACACGTAGTAATCGTTACACGTTGTGAGAATCATGAGGGGTTGTCAGCAGCGGTCAGCAGCGGTCAGCAGAGGCCTGCAGAGGGATGCAGAGACCATCAGGGGCAAGCAGTAACACGTAGTAATCGTTACACGTTGTCAGAATCATGAGGGGTGGTCAGCAGTGGTCAGCAGAGGCCAGCAGAGGCCAGCAGATGGATGTAAAGGCATGCAGAGACCAACAGGGGCAAGCAGTAACATGTAGTAATCGTCACACGTTGTCGGAAGCATCAGGTGTGGTCAGCAGTGGTCAGCTGAGACCAGCGGAGGTTGGCAGAAGTCAGTCGTAATTGTTATACGTTGTCAGAAATATAAGTGGAGATCATGAGAGGCCAACAGAGGCTGTGAGAGGCTGGCAGTAGCTAGCAGTAATGGTTATACGTTGCCAGATATATCAGAAGTGATATCTCATATGATATACATATGTACGCTCATACATAGGAATAATAAAAAAGAATTTCTTTTCTTTTAATAATTCAAATATGATTGGGGGGTCTTGAAACGTGTATTTCCGAAAGAAAAATTTCACAAAATTTTGTTTCATTATAGTACTTTGGTTATATGCGCCTGCATAGGTCGGAAAGTAAAAGATACTTGGGCTGTCGAGACTTGGAATCGTATGCCGTCGAATTTCAGTTGTTCAAGAGCGAGAAGGCAAATGTGAGCCTTCCTCTCTCGACTCCCACGAGACGGTACGAAATTATAAGAGTTGGTTAGTTACTTTGAGATCCTCCAAAGTCATGATGTTGGGCCGTGGAACAGGCACGGTGAGCAGAGCGGCCCAATGGCTCTGAAGCAGCGGGCATATGATAATGAAAACCAGGAACACCGTGCTGAAGAAGATCCTGTATGCAGTTTGCTGGGGCAGTCGATGCATGGCGACGTATGTAAGCAGACGGGCGACGTTCAAGAATGCTCGTAGGAACCCTTCGTGTTTCGCGAGAACCATAAGGGTGATCAGGGAGACCGTGGCTTTCCCTAGGATCACGCTGGGACTCATGAAAGACACGATCTTTCCTACCTCGGATATTTCTCCGAGATTCTGCGTGAGCACGCAGAGGCCATCTTGACCATGAGGGAATGTATGCCTGTGTTGAATCAAATTTTCCTCAGTTCCCTTTTATAATATTAATGGTCGCGTAATTACAATTTTTCAACGCGCCATCGTTGGTATTTTCTTAATTGTTAATCTATATTAAATGTTGCTCTGTTTTAACGCTAGCGTAAGCAACGAGTCGAGACTTTACTTTCTTTTAGAGAAGATCTCGCGGAGAAACTCGAGTCACGATAGATTCGACATTCGCAATTGGATCGAGAGGAACACGTACGCGACTTTCCACATAGCATGGAAGCTTCTCGCGTTCATGCCCATGTCCACCTTGCCGGTGCCCACGTCCGCCAACAGTCCCATCATGTTCCCGTCGGGCCCGACCCCTCCTAGATCCGACTCGGTCCCATTGTACACGAGCACGTCCACCGTCGCGTTCAGCTTGCCAAACAGTATTTTCACGATTTCGCTGTTATCGCCGGCGAACATGTCCAGGCCAGGCTTATCGGGGTGCACGTCGAGGTGGGGCTCGAACGGTATCGCGTTCAACCTCACCACATATCCGTTCAGATTGCTCGTTCTGTCGAACGTCAAGCCCTCGCACATCCTCGGATCTTCTACGTTACAACATCAGTCTGTTTAATTTTTAATAACGATATGTCTTGGTGACATACAGTTACTATTCTTTTTTAACACTAAACCTACCGGCATTTTCAATTAAACAAACAATTTATGATTCAGTTTTATGGCAAACCAGCCGTATGATCCATAGGAAGTACTGAAACTTCTTTGGGTGTATAGAGTCAAAGTAAATGTTAAAATAAACATAGAAGATAATACAAATAATAATAGTTTATATGGTCATAGGATAGAGGGTTAAATGCCCTTTAAAATGAGCGTTCGAACGAGTCGATAGCGTAATTAGTTCCGGAGATATGAGGATTTTAGTTTCAAGTCGATCGGATGGGACCGAAGCGTTTGTTTACGTCGCGAGATCAATGGACTTTCTTACTACGGCCTTGCAAGGTCGTTGACCGCACGTGCTCGTAGTAAATAGTAAACGTGACGTCACTCGGTCACTCGGTCAGTGGGTCAACGTGCGACAAGGAGGTCCAGCGCGACGCGTCAGACGGAGACAGAGACAGTCGAATTAAAAAAATTACCATTTACATAAATTGCGATATCTCCGAAACGAAAAGTCCGATCGACAAAAACCAAACGCCATTTTAAAGGGGAGGCCTTGCCGCCTCTAACGGCGGCTCAATAATGGATAAAGCACTAGTAGTTTCGAAACTGCACGCGTCTAAAGTTTTAGTATTTTTAATACGCGTTGATAGACTGAAGATTCTCTCCTTTCGTCTTTCTTATACATATATTATCTATTATTAACTTATACCATCGTGGTATTTGGTCTTCAGCAGAACCCAAGGATGCCCCCTCGGTCCCTTGAAGCGTCCAGCCTGTTTCCAAATCCCCGGAGCATCGTCCGAATAGGGATTGTAAGCGTAAATCGCGAGTCCTTCGTCGGGATCTATGCACAGGAACACCGTGGAGAGGAGATCGTATTCCCAGGCGGTGGCTAGGAAGCTGTGAGCGTTCAGACAACCGCGATCTTCGGTCTTCCTGTCGATCAGAACGTGGTATCCGTTGTGGTTCGACCAGGTGGAGTCCCTGATCCGTTGCAAGAGCAGCCTCAGCAGAGGCTGAGAGGACGCTATCACGACGAAACGCTTTATCTTCCAGAGCAGATGCGCGAACGAGATCTCTTTGAACAGCCTGAACGAGTATCTGGCCAGAGCGAACAGCTCGAACGCCGTAGATCTCGATTCTGCCATCAGGGCCACCGGTAGATCCCCGAGGATCGATCGCTGGAGGAACTCGTCGTACTCACCCGCCAGCAACAGGGTGTCTTTAGGGTCGAACATCGCGCAGGATCGAACGATCGTCATCTGGAAAGTTTATTATCACGATCCCCTGGCCGAGTTTCAATAGTTTAATTAGAAACTGAGTTTAGGTACCGTTTTATCGATCACATCTTTGTAGGTGACCTCGCTGCTCGTTGTTGCATTTACGATCAACGCAGACACGGATAGAACAGTGCTCCAAGCTGTTTCATGCATGCTGGATTCTGGTCTGTTCAATGGTCGACAATTGTTGTTAGAAATAAGTAGCAAACACTTGATGCAACGACAAAGGAACTTCGATACTTTTATTTATTCGAGTCGGAGCGCTTTTTAAGAGTGTCACGATTTCGTTAAACTTATGCGACCGATCGTCACGGTTCGAGGACGAACGGAATAATGCTTCCTGCGACGAACAACCGACCCACGTTTCACGGTGTCCATTTGCACGATAACCATCTAAATCGACGCTTTCCCATTTCGGTGAATTAACGCGAAGCGTGATTCACCACGCAGATACCGCTTGATTTTAGGCCAGTAATTACCATCGACGACGAACCGAAACTTTAGGTTCGTTTGTAATGTTACGAATTTGTTGGGTGAATAAGCTTTTGTATTATCTATTTTCGACTGTGACTCGGTGCATCTGCAAGGCCGTCGAACGTCAATGGCCGGTATTATGGAAACTGCTTCCCCGGAGAAGACAGTTCTTCAAGGTGGGAGCGCAGCTCCGCGAACGACGAGTTTAAAACAGTTTAGCACCGGCCGCCGGCTCGAGTGCCCGTCTCTGGAGTTCGTCGTGGACGAAAAGAAGGGGATCCGTGTGTGTGCGTGTCTTGCAATTTGCATACGCCTGTTCGTTATCGCGACCGTTTCGGAACTCTCGAGTCATCCAGACGGCTCGTGCAGCGTTTCCACGCTGGTCGATCGACGAGAACGATCGTAAGTCGGCGAAAATAGTGGTCCGCCGGGGAAACCAGTTTGCGGCTCCTCCGGAGGACGAATTATCGCCCCGAGGGCGATGATCGGAGCGCAGGAAGCGATTCGGTACCTCGTACCGATAGTTCTTTTTATCGAACACGCGGCCGCAACCGCGCGACCGCACATCGTGTTCATTTTGGCGGACGATTTGGTAAGCGTCAAACTCTCCGACGTCGTTGCGTAATATTTGCTAACTTATTGTGTTCGTTTCGCAACTTTCGAGCAGACAGCGGTTACGGGGACTTTAGAAATCAAGCCTGAACCTCTATTTTCACTTAGAATCACTTACACGAGTAAACGTAACTTGGTAAATTGCTAGCAATTGATTATTTTTCAGTTTGCATCGATAACGAGTACGATTACTCCCACTCGTGTTCGTACGCTTGAAAAGAAACTTGTTTCTCACGAATTCTTTCCATTTATTTTTACTTCGAACATAATTCTTTAAGCCAATGTTTGTTTCGTTTATAGTGAGTCACCATTGTACGAATACGAGTGGGTGAGTAACTATATAGAAAAATGCGCGATGGCGGCGGAACGCTAATGGTTTTAAATCGATGGGCACAGGGATGGAACGACGTTGGATTTCACGGTTCCGGGCAGATCCCGACGCCCAACATCGACGCCCTCGCGTACTCCGGCCTCCTCCTGGACCGATATTACGTAAGCCCAATCTGCACGCCGTCCAGGAGCGCGTTGATGACTGGCAAGCATCCCATTCACACAGGAATGCAACACGGGGTACGTGGACGAGGTACGGACGCAGACAAAATAAACGAGCGTCTCGCGTCTTTGTCGTTGATCGTTTAAGCGCGCGACGGGCTTATGAATAAATAGAGTGTGGTATGTTCGCGGCTGGAACCTCGATGACTCGTTCGTCAACACATAAATCAACAAAGTCGCGCGTTCCTCCATCCATCCAGGGACACTATTCGAGGCCAGACTCGTAGCATTGCTCTTTTCGTTACATCATGAATGTCGTCCATTCTTCGTAGCTTCTAAATCAGAGAACGTCTAACGTTGCACCGTGTGTCGAATCAGGTTTTAAAGTGTGCCGAACCAAGGGGGCTTCCTCTTCGGGAGAAGCTTCTGCCAGAGTATCTAAGAAGCCTCGGCTACAAGACGCACATCGTCGGGAAATGGCATCTGGGCTTCTACACGAAGGAGTACACGCCGACTTACAGAGGATTCGACTCCCATCTTGGTTTCTGGAGCGGTCATCACGACTACTTCGATCACAGTGCCGTCGAAGATGCAAGTATTCCCGTAAAACGATTAAATTCGCTCGCTATGACTTCGTGCTAACTTTTAAACGCGATTACTGCGATCCTCGACGCAGCCTTACTGGGGTCTGGACATGAGGAGGAACCTTTATCCAGCTTGGGACCTTCACGGCCAATATACTACCGACGTCATCACGAGAGAAGCGGTGAAATTAATCGGTGACCACAATGCCAGCCAACCTATGTTCCTCTACATAGCCCACGCGGCTGTCCACTCTGGAAATGCCTACAATCCTCTTCCAGCCCCGGATCACAACGTCGCCAGGTTCAACGACATCCAGGATTACGATAGAAGACGCTTCGCTGGTGATTGAAAGACATCCTGGTCCTGGTGTCATGCGAATCCAAGGTACCTGACTTCTCTTCTTGTTTTTAGGTATGCTGAGCAAGCTGGACGAGTCGGTTGGCAGCGTCGTCGAGGCGTTGCACGCAAATGGGATGCTAAAGAACAGCATAATAGTGTTCTCCACCGACAATGGCGGCCCCCCGGCTGGGTTCAATTTGAACGCCGCGTCCAACTGGCCGCTCAGGGGCACGAAAAACACCCTCTGGGAAGGTAGTTCGATTGATCGAGAAGCTTAAACGATTGGAGTGAATCGCTAAAACTCTGTCAAGTTCAACCTGTACCTATTCCTAGTCCCAGCGTCTAAGGCAGCGATTAAGATAGTTTACATGGCTCTGATCAATTGATCTCGATTAGGTGGCGTTAGGGGAGCCGGCCTGCTATGGTCCCCCAAACTTAGGCGGCCTGGCAGGGTCAGCAGACAATTGTTTCACATCAGCGATTGGCTGCCGACGCTGCTCATCGCCGCTGGCGGGAATTCGTCGAATTTGAACATCGACGGCATGGATTTATGGGACTCCTTGAACGGAGACCTCGAGTCCCCGCGTACGAGCGTTCTCCACAACATAGACGACATCTTCGGCGTGTCGGGGGTCACGGTGGGCGACTGGAAACTCGTTCAAGGTACGAACCATTTTATCCTGACTACGAATGACTCCAAATTCTGTCTACGAGCCACGATACGTTAAAAGGAACGACTTATAACGGACAATGGGACGGATGGTACGGCCCATCCGGAAGAGAGCAGGTCTACAACGTGGGGGGCGTGATCGGGAGCGCGGCTGGTCGAGCAGTGGCCAGCGTGGGCCTCGATCTGTCCGCTGATACCGTTAGAAAGCTTCAAGCAGAGGCCACGGTCATCTGCCACCCCAAAAACGAGACTCTGCTTCCATGCAAGCCTCTGGAAGCTCCCTGTCTCTTCAACGTCCGCTTCGATCCTTGCGAGTACAACAATCTCGCCAACGAGTGAGTGGAACCGAACCCTCTCAACCCCTACGCGTCTGCTTTAAAGTAAATCTCCCTTTTTCGTCGCGTTCAAGGTACCCAACCATCGTCAACTCTCTGAAGCAAGAGCTGAGGAAATTGAACGCCACCGCGGTACCGCCTGGGAACATGTCTTGGGACAAGAGAGCGAATCCAGACCTCTGGGACCACGTGTGGACCAACTTCGGCGACTATCTCAACGAGTTGACAGAAACGGTGTAAAGAAATGCAAATAAAACAAGAGGAAGGAGCAGATGGGAGCATACATTTAACGTATACCAAAGTGCACAAAAGTTTCCGCCATCGATTACAATGTTACAATAATTAAGACGCGCAAATTTTTGTTGTACATAATGGAAATGTCGGATAATCGAGCAGCACCATCAGTCATCGGACGCCATCATGATTTTGGCGCACCTGGGGACCAAAGAAATGCCGTTAGAACGCGGAGAACCGCGGGAAGAGAGTTAAAACTCACCTGCACATCGAAGGAATCCATGCCCATCCGGTGGAACACACCTCCTCGGGCATCAGACAAGTGCACTTGCACTTCTCGGCGTCCCACACCATATTTTTCAACCTGTTGCAAATGGCTCGTTCCTCCATATTGATGCATTTGCACTCGCAGTTGTACTCGTCGTACACCTGGTTCTCGTTGCAATCTTCTTTCATCACGCTGCATCGACACCTACGATTTAATCGCCCTGTAGCCGAGGATCTATGCTCCATTTGTGCATAACAAGGGTAAACGATAGCGTAAGGAAAATAAATAATATTATTATTGAGAAATCAAACCTACCTTACACAACACAAATGAAAATTATAGATCTTGTTAGGTCTACCCTGATCGTGTGACAATTTGACGAAATTTTATCGTGAAAATTAAGGATCGAAGTTCATTTTACCTGCATTCCGTGTGTTCCTGGACGTAGATATAATGACAAGACATGGTGGTCGACGTAAGATCGATGGTCCTTTTAACGAGGACTCGTTTCCTCTTGGTCGCTATGGGCAAGCAGAGCAAATTATTTCCGCAGAAACCGTCGCACTTGTTCAGAGAAATCATGGCCGGGAAGTAGATGTGTCCAGACGTGGATGTTATCCTCTGTAAACTTTGTCGTGGCATGCACTTCACGTCCTTCATCTCCTTGTTAAATTCCGTTCGCGTTCTTCTACATTCTGCGACGGATAGTCGGAATTACGTAGAAAGTTTCGACAAAGTTACCGTTTCGAGCGTACCTTCCTTCGTCAGGTCTTCGACTTCTTCGTCGCGAAGGAATATATCGGTCATCGTGCGACACGTATCGGCACCGACTCTGCTAGAAAAATAGAAAACGCACGCGGCAAATACGAACGACTTCATTTTTCCTAGATCCGCGAAGTCGTAGATTTACTGGCCGTAGAACTACTAATCGTAGAACTGCTAGTCGCGGAACATTGCTCATAGATAATTCTGTTGCACGGGCGGAAGTGGATTTCCTTCCGAATCATTTTTATATGCGCACGCTGAGGTTTCCGAATGTCAGGATATAAAGAAACGCGACGATAAAGACTGGACCCGGCGGGGGAATTGTAAATAGTATCTCGTTTATTTCTTAATCTATACATATCTTCGATTTTGTTGGACCACAGTTTTCTGCCCAAAAAAGTACAAAGTGGGGAATGAAATGAGAAAAGGGGGAACCCTCCGTAGAAACCGTATTAGTACTTCGTGTTGGTTAAAACGTTAGAATAGGTCCTTCTCGATGATCAAGGATATCTGCAAAAGGAGGGAAATCGTAATTAATCGGCTTGTCGGTTCCGTTCGCGAATAAATTGATCGATGGAGAGGCGTTACGCAACAGCTGTTCGTCGCAGACTAATTTCGTTTCTCACGACTCTGTTGTTTTAACTAACAGTGATTGCGTAAGGATTAGAAACTGTCCAGGATTCGTTCGAGATATTTTGCCCGACCCTTGGACTGCTGCGACGTAACGCCGTCTTTTGACGCGTTAAACTGCCTTTACGTAAGAATTTTTCTGTCCGCGACGACCGATCGACAGGCGACCGGTCTCGTACCTTTGGCAATGCTCCACCAGGGCAACGTAATGTACGTGAGAAACGCGTTCAGGGGAACGGATTGGGCTCGCCTGGTCTCTTTCCACAAGTGGAAGGTCTGGGTGAATCCTCTCATCGTCCACAACGGGTTGTATGCGCCGTCGTCCAGCTCTGATGACAGACAACGAACCGACTATTACTGATAACCACGGATCGAATTCAGGCTCGACCTAGAATTAAGATCCTGGAATGATACGCGCCGACCGATTAAGCAGGACAATGAATCTCGATTGGTGACTCATGGCGAATATCGAAATTCGATACAAGCGACGCTGCACGACCGAAAACTTATCGATGACAAGGCGTAACACGTATGTATGTACGTCGAAGTGACAGAGCAATACACATTAGCTACGGGTGCGCAGAACAGGTAAACACAAACAAGGGATGCACTAGCGTTCCGTTTTTTTTTATCCGACGAGGATTCGACGAGCTTTTACATTCTGCTCTACGACGCGTACTTTCTTTTTGCTCCAAGCGTTTTTTTCATCGAACATACTATAGAGCAGAATGGAAGGACGAGACTGTTAAAAATTATGGATTCTACGTTCTATCGATCTCTTACTTTCGTTGTCGGTCTTTCGTTTCGGCGAATACACAGGATGTTTCACAGAGATATGCAAATACTCGGTCGAATCTACGCGCTAAAATAATTAAAATGTTCTGCAAGGAGAACGACGATTTTTACTTATTTTAGTACGTAGATCGAGTGTGTATTTACGGATATTCTTGAAACACCTTGTATATTGTAGCTTGATCATCATTGTGAATGACTATGTTTATACCGGTGGTGAAACTCGCGGAGTAGACGGTTTAAACATTCTGTTTCTTTTTTCTTTTTTCTTACGATGACGTTAGATTACAGAAAGCATAGAAATAGATTGCAGCATTTGATTGGTATTGTCGCGAACCACCACCAGCACTACGATACACCGTCACGATCGGTTCCAATGGTATTCGACGATCGATTGTCTCGGAGACGATCGCACTCCCATTGCCAATGTAATTTCACCATCCTCATAAACACAGTCATAGGCTGAGCATGGTCGCACGAACGGAGACACGTATTTACCTTTCTAACAACTACGAACATTCACGGATGGAGTACAATGGACAAAATGACTGTTGGTTTTCTTGGTGTCGTACAGACTGCCCGATAAACGATCGCTCTCTCACGTGATCTTGGTCAAAAAATGCAGAACTTTCTTTTCGTTTTGAAGGATACTTTTGGGGATATTCTGTACAAGGAAACGAATATTTGGAAGTCCAAAGCATGGCCCAATTTGCATCAATGCATTCGCAGGAGTAGTATTTGCTAACTAGCGTTCGCGTAATGTTCACAACGAAGGCTAGGCGCGATACATCTAATTTATACTAATTAAGAACTCGGAAATAAGGTCAAACACACGCCTTTTCTGAAAAGGTGCACAGCGTTATGGTTCACCACGCTATTATGCAATAATTTACGATCTTTGGACGCAAGAAAGCCATCGTTTACAGCTCGTTCCGCGTCGATTCGTTCACTTTTGCACCCCCCGAGGTCAGCTATCTCATTAACACTTTATCTGGCGCTTAAAATTAAAGCGATCGATCGCCAATGATCGGCTAGCGGTCGACGAAGTGTCAACGTGGTTTGAAAAATCAGAATGCTCACAATTTCCACCAATTTTGATGAAAATTAGATTCGCGAACGCTACTGCGGTGAGAAAAGGGGTGGAGGTGTGTGCGGGTGGCCTCGAAACTCGGGGACAGCCAAGAAAGCGACCTCTTTGCTGCGAATTCGCCGATTTCTCGGATTTGTTCGCGAGTTTCGTGGGTGTCCGCGCACCCCTAGTGAACGGGCCGTCGGAAGAGTCGGACATCTGTACGGGTGATCGCGTTGTGGGTGGAAGTGTCGGATGTGGCAGGGTGGAAGAAGAATTTACCCTGTGAGCCGGGGCGGCGCGGGAGCTCGCACCAATAGTAGATGGCTGTGCCGTCTGGTGTGACTCGGTGAGGAGGGAGTGGGTTGCTCGCGAAGCTTCCGGAAAGCGCGCGTCTTCGTCTTCTCCTCGGCAGAGTGGCGCTGTGCCTGTGCGTGGTCAGGTTTCCGCGCGTGATACGGGCATTCGCGTTTTTATCTTTGATCGTCTCGTCGTTTTTGTTCTTGTTCCCGATGTAGTACTCCTCCTGGTCGGAGCCGGCCGACCGCAAACGGTGACGCCCGTCCGGCCGCCTCGACCTGAACACCTCGTCGTCGCTCAGCTGTCGATGCTCCTCCTCGTTCTCCATGTTGTTCATCCTCTCCTGATTGATGATGTTCCCGGTGCTGTACGGTCTGCGTTTACGGTTATTGTCCTGCTCCTCCTCCTCGTATCCCAGCGGCAGCTCCTCCTTACCGTGGACCATTATGGCGCCCGCGTCCAGCTTCCGTCTGACGTTGTCGTCCGTCAGGCAGGGCGCCGCCGGCACGAGTATCTCGCTACCGACCTCGATATGATTGTGACGATGGTGGTTCTGGAGGCCTACCACGAAACAACCTGTTCCATTGTCTGCGTGCTCGCGCTTCGTCGTCTCCGACCATCGACCTGTCGCTTCGATCGAACGATTTCTCCCTTTGACACTCATGGTGACGATTTAAATCGCACACCACGGTTCAAACGATTATGCAGAGCATTATGGATAATATCGTGGTAAACTCGAGGCCCGTAGAAATATCCTCTAATATCTTTAACGCGAACAGAGTGGAATTTTAATGGTTGTCCCGGTTTGTCGGGGAGATTTGATTTAGAGCGATCGACGGATGCTCGATGGAATGATCGAAAGAAGCGGAAGACAAAGAACGAGCGTCTTGGAACGCGCGGGAGAGCACGCTCACCGTGTGTTTCGTGATAGGCCTCCTTGCGGTTCGGGGAGTTCTCGTTTCCGGCCGGTTCCCACGAGTTACGTTGCTTTTGATTCGGTCGTTGCTGCCTGCCAGGGTGAGGGGATCTTCGTCGTCTGGCACGAGGACTTCTGTGATTTCCCGGTGAGCCCCGGCCGCCCCAGCTGCTATCCTGTAGGTCGGCTACAAAGGAAAGAGCCGGCGTGGCACGTGTCCACTGATTAGAGATAAGGCTACGCGTTTCTTTGTCTCGCTTCCGTTTCTTTCGTTTTCGTTTTTTTTTTTTGGTACTTTGTCGTTTCATTTTCTACTCGATCGTCCATGTTCGTGACAAGCGTATCGGACAGAAGGGAGTACGCGCGTGGCGGTGTTGGTGGTGGTGGCTCTAGCTTGTATCTCCTCGACGTGTTTCACGACGTGCCTATGCATCTTTTCTTTTCGCAATTTTTGCTCGTTTACGTTCCCTTCGTTTACGTAATTACCGTCCAACTTTCGCTCGTAGCTACGACCGGTCCCGAAGGAGCCCAAGCGTGCGATCTCGCTGTTGCTCCTTCCCGACCGATCCGAGGCTTCGCGGCGGAAACAGTGAATCGCAAAGAAAGAACCCTCCGGTTTCAGCTTGCTATCTAGTACGTTGAAAAGTGACTCGAACTAGAAAAGATATATTCTGGGCGCCTCTGAGTCACGGAAACAAAACAGAAAGTAACGTTAAATAGTTTTATACCGCGACAAGATGTAACTTGGGGTGTAAAAGAAACTGTTCTCAATAGGGACGTCTAAGCTATCGAGGTGAGATAGATGTGCAAAAGACACAGATACGTAACACAATAGCATGCACAATCGCTCCTGGAGGGCCGCAGGCAGAGAAAAAATAGGAGAGGGTATAAAGAATGTAGAGTGTCGTTGTATTTGTCACGCAACTTCCGGTTCCCGTCGACGTTCGATCGTTCGACGATCGTTCCGCGTGGGACAAGAGCTCGTAGTTACCATCTCGAACGTCCCCTGCCTCGATCTCGCTCAGGCCGTTCGCCATCGAGTCCAGACCCTCGTTCTCCGACCTGGCCTTCATCGACGCCGTGTCCGGCTTCGTCTTCCAGCCACCGCGAACGAAATTGTTCAAGTTTGCGCTGGGATCGGACAGCCTTCGTTGATGTCGGTACATGAACAACTCCTCGGCGTCGTCCCAGTCGGCGTCCCACAGGGAATCCGTGGCGCAGTAACCCGGCTCCGACGTAGGCGTCTCCGCCCCCGAACCCTTGGGCTTCGTCACAGCCATCTCAGCGTGTCCTTTTCCTGAAAGAGAAACGATGATCGATGGTGCAAGGAAGCGACGCGCGGTGAACAACAACGATCGAGATGTTGTGTAAAAAATTCTGATGTTTTTAAAAATCGAAGCTGAGACTTCAAGGGAAAATTACAGAGAATTTGACGGACATGCTCTTTCGATTCGAAAACGTGTGTGCACAGGTGATGTTTTTTAATCGTGACGAACAAACGACCGAGATCGTTGTTGTGTAAAGAATTCTGATGTTTTTAAAAATTGAAGCTGAGACTTTAAGGGGAAACGTGTGTGCACAGGTGATGTTTTTTAATCGTGACGAACAAACGATCGAACGAAAGAGTGAACGCTGCGTCGGGACACTGTATATCGTACCATGGGGTCCTTTCATTCGGACGAACTCTATTCTCTGCGAGGCCGCGCCGGAAAACAGGCCGAAGGTCATGCGTTGCGCCATTTTGGTACTCAAGCTAGACTGAAAAATCGAAGCGGCGGTATTACGTTTCAGCGGGACACTCGGTTCGAAGCCGCGCTCCCAAAGCATGCATAACGGTGGCTGGGAACGTGGCCACTCGAGCCACTTGACGCTTTTTAGCGCCGGATGCAATTGCGACGCGGGCCGGGAGAATCGGGCTCAGATCGACGATACATTTACGAGCATCGATCGCGCAAATTTAATTTGAGCATGGAATCTGAAGCGGAGCGAAATGTAATCTGATTAATGATTACGGAGCGACCGCGTTGCGATTTCGCGATAAGCATCATCGTCGATCGTTAATCAGATTACGTTTTGCACAATTCGCATTCTCGAAACGTCTGACCCAATACGAGCAGCAACCCTTTGTTTAAATGTGCATTAGTACTTTAATAGTGTTAGTAAATTAGTGATTTTAGAAGATAAAACGGTCTTGAAAACAAATTTTCTTTCAAGTCGATACCGTGGTTAACCCAGGATCGAGCGTTAAAGCGTTAAAAGAGACGCGGGGCACGCGGCTTGGAGCGCAGCTGGGAGTGCCAAGAACGTACCCTCGTGTCGTATACTTTCTTGAGCGCGTCGTATCTGATAGAACCGAGGAAAATTACACCCTGGATCGCGCCCTCTCTGTCGGACGCGACCAGCTCCACGCATACCATCTCGCCGTCCCTCACTAGAATATCACAGAAAACTTCGTCGAAATTGTCCACCATGAAGCATATGTGCGGGTAGGTCATCTCTTCGAGATCACCCTTGGCGTCCATCCGACGTCGACTAGGACTCGCGTACACCTTCTGCGAGTGTCTTCGTAAAACCTGAAACGTCCAAGAAGGAGATTTTTTCCGCCAGTGACTAAAGAAACTTTGAATTCGAAACGGTTCTCTTGGCTCGAGGGTTGTTAAAGAATGCGAGAAATAGTGGTTTGCGGCTCACTTGCAATTCCTTGGGGCTCGTTCTTGTGCAGATCGCCAACGTGAGCGTGTAGTCGAACTGATGTACGACCAGATTCAGGTACACGGTTTCCTCCCAGTCGATGTCGGGATCACCGATCGGCAGTTTCTTGCTGTCCTTGCGGAAAACGTCCACCTCGGTCTCGAACTTCGGCAGGTACCTCGACGAGGTTTTCACGTGCTTCTTGCGAACGAAGAAGAGCAGGTCGTCGCCGTCGATCGTGTGCTCCGCTTGGAAAAGGAAATGCCGGACGAACAGGTCCGTCCAGTAGGTGGTACCTTGCAGCACCACGAAACCGGAGTCTGCGAAAATGTTTCGACGACATCCTCCGTAAATCACCCTTTACTTTATTATCGCGTCGAGCAAAGGGGTACGCGCCACGCGAATTTACGTTGCTCCAACGCAGCGTGACAGAGAACGTCGTTAAAAATACGCGCGCGTGAAAAAATATACCGGATGCGTCAGAGGCGCGAAGGTCGCTGGTAAAAATAAGAGCCTTCGATTCGCACGAGGAAAGATCGTCACGGTAGTTTTGATCGCCATCGGTTCCGCGTTATCTGCGAACGAGCAAAACAAAATTTCTCCAGGGAGGGACACGGCCATATCGCGCGGAAGACAGTCGATAATCGATAACGATATTCAGCCAAGTCCGAGTTAATTGCAATTCCTATCGTCGACGTGACCTATCCACGATCTTTTTTGCTCGAAACGCAAAACGTATTTATTAATTTATCGCTAGTAAATTATAAAACATCGTATTCTCGTTTTATCAAAGAGTTTGATGACAAATAAGTATTACAAAGTGTTTCCCGCAACGCAGAAGCCTTTCCTCGTCGACCGCATAGGGGACTCACGGCTTAAAAAACGCTATTGATATTGAATCATCCCGTGCAGCGTGTACTTAATTGTCTGGCGACACAGGGTTACGTCATATTGTGTTTATAGAACGAGGCGTTTCAAGTAATTGGTCCAGCATTCTCGTTAATAATATGCGAACCAAAACCAGATTCCGGCTACGTAATCGACGCCCAGATACGAATGTTTTGTTCCTCGTAACGAAAGGAAACGAGTAATAGTTGACTTCATGGTCGATGGACCAGCTGGTATTCGAGTTCTCCGATGCTCGATGGAAATGTACCATGCTGGAGAATCGAGGCAGCAAACAAAAGGTGTCGATGGACGGATTAACTGAGGATTAACCCGTTGCTCCGATACGTTTCTCGTCTTCGACCTCGCGGCAGCAGACTCGAATATATGTAAATGCATGCAAACGTATTCGAATCGGCAAATCGTGCGTGTCAGATCGAACGTCGTACAAACGAAATCGACATTCCGGTCAGCTGTTAAGAAAAACAACTCCAGTCGTGACCTTACTCCGTCTGAACGGCGAAGAAATAATTTGGCAAAACAAAGCGGAAACATCGTAGACGGATACGCGATCGTGGCTCGTTTCCCCCTCGACTCATCGATCGTCGAATCACCCTCGCTGCAAACCCCTGCATATCCCAAACAAAAGCACCAGTCCCCCCAGGAACACACCCCTTGTTCGAGCACCCTCGCGACTCCCCCAAACGCGCAAGACGGACTTAATCATGCTTAAGCCCTTGCTAGACTCGTGGTTACTCTTGCTCCCTTTCAACCAGCTATTAATTCGAAACGAACAGGCTCGTTCGTTCCTCTCGGTGTTTAAATAGAATTGTTACCGACCATCCTTGAGCATCTGCCGGAGTTCCTTGGTCCTCTGGAAGTTGATCTCCTCGAGAAGCTGCTCGAGCATGGTCGGCGGCCGGGTGAGGCCCGCTGTCGAGCTACCCGCCAGGTTGGCCATGCTCGGCTGAACGATCAGGCTCCTCCTCGACGTGGTGAACGCCGGCGTCTCCTGGACGGTCCCACTTGTCGTCGCCACAGCCTACCGCGGCGCACTAGCACTGGACACGCTCGCTGAGGATCACGGCAGCAGGGGCGAGGACAACGCCGAGCGGATCGGTGCCGAGAGACGCGACGATGGAACCGAGACAAAGACGGGTCATCGCGAAATCCCTCCGCGGCCGACCGGCATTTTACTCTGTCCCTCTCTCTCTCTCTTTCTCTGGCGGATTGCGTCACGATTCGGATGTTTGTGCACCGAGGATCTCCACCGTGGTGACTTTATCTGACTGCCATAGTGACGCGAGTCGTACGAATCGTTTACGATACTCGACGTTACGGGTTCGCGCCTCGAAACTCGTCGAGTTCACGCTTCGCCGACCGGAGAGTCACCGGGTCCCGACGAGTCTCCTCCACGACTGTCGAGTTGGCGCTACGACGCTCGATAATCCCACGCATGCGCAACCTGCTGGTGCATTTGCACTTTTCCAAATCCCGAGAGTTCAATTATTCTTCGATGGTTATCGAACATTCAGCTGCTGTCGATCGTTTAGCGCGAATTTTCAAACGATATCGAATCGTCTAATTTAAATTGGAGACATCGTTCTCCGGCCCCCCGGGGCCCCCAGAGTTATAACTCTGCCCTGAGAGTCTGCGACAAATTCATACCGACGCGGTTCTCCGGCTCGATTCGCCTGATAAAACAGTTGTCTGCATAAAAAATTAACGTTCCGTTTTTATCTACGGATCTCGATCGGAGATTCGAAATAAAGGGATGTTATCGACCGAGAATATCGATATATATCGCGAGCGAACATTTAATTTGCGTATTTTTTAGTGACTTGACTCATGATCCATTGTCATTCGGAAAAACTTGGGTGATTCACGTCGCACGAACTGTCGGCATTTAACTGTTATCGAAGGATGATCGAGTGGTCAGATATTACTAGTAACGTTGTCGTGTTGTAACAAGCAATGTTACAAATTATCCCCTCCATTCCCTTTAATTACACCGACTAAGCGTCCGCTTATCTACGACTTTCCGCGGTCAGCAATGTCTCGGGCTTATAATGACTTACCAAAGCTGAAAAACTAAATTGTACGTCTTCTACTTCGCTGTAAGACTGCTTTTCTCGAGTAATCTTTCCATACGTGTCCGTTTACAAAATTTATCGCAAAACACACCAGGTACGAGTACTCGTAAGATCGATTTTTAGTGCGTGGTAGAATTTTAATACGAATAAAATAATCGCTCGAGTTGTTCCCGGTGAACGAAATTAGAGAAATAGTTTCGAGCGTTCGTTTGACTTTTCTCCCAGCTATGGTGCTCATAAAATTGCATAAATTTGTGGACCAGCAATGGAGGGGTTGTGTTCTAGATATTGATTTTCAGTTGTGAAACGAAAGCTTCGGTAAACGCGGACGCGGGTGTTTATCGTATGCGCGTTATCTGAAAGACGTCGTCGCTCCCAGGCAAACACGATGACCTGAAACTGACCTCGTGACTCGAGATAGTAATTTCCGCCGGGTAACTTGACATAGGACGTACGTAGCTAGTTCCAACAAAATAAAATTCACGTCGTTACGCTCTGAACGTTTCCTTACATGCTTCTGTCGGAAACAAATTCTCAGATGACTTCCTTTTTACGATCCTCGAAAAGCAATTTTATCAGCAACGCTCTAAATAATTGCTAAGAAGACTCTCAAGTCAGAACTTTTAATTTTTAATTTTGAACATCTCTAAAATTATTATTAATCGCGAATATAATTTGGCCAAGTGTGGGTCGAGGATAGTTCTAGGGCGTTGGTATCGACTAGGCGTGATAAATCCGAGGAACCGGTATAATGTCGCGTACGTTGGAAATATGCGAGGCGGGAAAGTGTTGGGACGACGGGCGTTTTTCGAATCGTCGGGGCAAACTTTCCTGATCCGCTTTGCTGGCCGCCCGTCCGGTTCGTCATCTGGTTTAGTCGTGCACGATCGTTCTCTCGTCTTACTCAACATCCCGACACCGGGTGTACTCGTCGCGATTTCGACTCGTGGGACAGTCAGTGCGAAAGAAATCGACGCGATCGTGTCGGTGAGTATCGCGTGCAAGTGCCGTGCACCAGTGTGCGACGCGACCAATTTTATCTACCTCGACGATCGTTTAATAACCACCTCGCCGCTCGTTAATTGATTCCAGAGTAGATTTCACGGGAGGGACTCTTTCTCGCTTATTTCGACGACTTTTTTCAAGGTAAAAACAGAAACGATTGCTCGGTCGGGGAAGTTTGATAGGAACTTGGTCTTTTCGAGGATTATACGCTCGTTTCGTAGGGAGAAAGAACGATCGCGAGTTATGGGGAATGCGGTACAACGAGTAAGTAGAACGTTGAAAGTGTCGAGTTAATTTTTGGTCAGTCGCAGGTTTTACGAAAGCTGGCTAAAAGGTCTGATCGGATACGGGTCGAGATCCCTTCTATTTTCTTGCAATGTTTATTTGGAATCTATCAGCTGAAACTAAAATTTAGCGTTTCGTAGTACTGTTAGCGAACTCGTTCGAGCCAGCAAGCCTTGCCTTAGGCGCAGTTAAAATTTGACCGACTCTGGCTCCGGAGTTCTTAAGTCGATTCAATGAATTAATTAGTGGAAATCATGGGTGGTGCCGTCGGAATGCTTGACGAGAGTTTCGGAGGCGTAATCGTGTTCCCAGAGTAAATGGTTTTACAGTCGGTACTCCCTCAACTTCGACTTTCCGTGAACGTGGTACAAACATTAGTTTAACGTGATTCTTTGATCGTAAAAAGGGAGTTTCAGATCGGTGATCGATAAAGCACGTGAAACGTAGAGTTTCGAAGAAGTTGCGAGCCAGTTCGTTGCGAAAGATCGTCCCGTCAGCAAGAGACGTATCGTTGGTACGAAACGTACGTGGCGATTTTTCCCCTAGCATTATTAAGTAATCGACTTCCAGTGAAATGTAAACCGCTTCGAATTTGGCCGCGAGCGAAACACCCCGAAGCGGTGGAGTCGCGAGCGCGCGTGAAAGGGCGAGCGTCATAAAAGAAGCTGCATCCCGCTTCGTTCCGCCACTTGGCGCGTTAGAATTGACGCGGACATCGCGCGATTTCGATCCAACTTCCGCTAAAGTGAGCTTCTAAGTTCGGTGTCAAGGTGTGGTGCGGATGAAAACAGTGCGGTTCGATCTCAGTTTAAAGAAAAACGATCCAAGAACGGTAATAAAGCTCGAACGAAGCGATTCAGGCATTCGACGCGTCTATTGATCCAAGCTCTCCGACGTTTCGTTTCACCCTGTTCAATGTTCATCCGTGATGGATCATTTCGTTCGTTCAAACTTTATTTAACGAGTAACAGCTAAAAGAATTCTGTCGGCGGGAGATAGACAGAGTCAGGGAAATCCTATTTCCGAATACCGGATGCAGACTTAAAATTCATCCGTGATCTAAATTCGCTTTTAGCCTCGGTTTGAAAAGTCTGTCAATGGATTCTAATTTACGAACGAACCTGAAATTTGCGTCCGCCGTTCGGAAATAAAGTTTGCTCCCGCGGATCGATCGTGGAAGGAATTACGGACCGTAGCCAGCCAGCCTTCGGAACTGTCCATATTCTACTTACTCGCGCTACCACATTCCCCTTGATCCCGAGACGGATCATTTTTTTCTCCGTACGAGCCTCGAGAGCTGTCTACAATTGCATAATCGTCGTTCCTTGAACGATGAACTCGGGGTGATTGTAAAAAAGTTAATCGCGCGCTTCCATCTTTCCCGATTCGATTCGTCTGCGAATTGGCTAACGTCGCGAGGATCGTGGATGCAATCGATTCATCGATTCCCGGATAACTGTTTACGATAATCAGGGGCGTGAAATCACGGGGGTCACAAAGGGGGACACGAGTTCGAAACGCGCCTAGTCGCAAATCGCTTTCTTTTCGCGGCTCTGGAACGCTCGATCGATCGTGGCCTAACTTCGCCTCGCCTTATCGATATTTATCTTCGAGAGCATAGTTCGAGCACGATTCTTAAGTGGTTCACAATAGTTTCTATCAATAGAAATAGATAGCAAGTGAAAATAAAATTCGATTCTTCAAACGAAAACTATACCAAGGCTGAAACGAGGAATTAGAACTTGATAGTCAATATATTTTCCTGCTACGGTTTTACGACGTTCTTGATGAAGTCAATTACCCGTTAAGCTTCCGTCGAAATGACACGATTGCTTTGGTTTCGCTCTCTACGAGCGTTCCTTCGCGATGCATTATCTCGAGCCCGTCGATTATGGTTTCTTTTTATCTCGATTCGATTTTGATCCGCGCGATTTCTGGCGTTTCCCGCCGCTATCTTGTGTGTCCCTGTTTCAAACGATCGCCCCCGACATCGGTGTTCTAGAAACCTACACCTACATGCCGAGAGCGGCGATCTCGAAAGCCGGTTCGAACTCCCGACCCACTTGCTATACACGCTTACGCGTAATCCGACGCATCTCTAGCTCTGCTCGGATGTTAGTCACTCATCTTTTTTTATTGTTCCCGACGATACTCCGGAAGGATGCGCCTATCTCTCCGATTAGGTTCCTTTCTCCTGTTGGCGTTATTCAGGATACACGATATCTCCATTGTGCGTACAATCTTACGATAAGTATGTATCTTGCATCTTCTCGATGTTGTTCATAGTCGAAAGACTCAATATTTTACGTTCGATATCTTTCTTCGTTAATTATTTTTTGGGATTTTAATCTGTTTGGTAACCTTGAGTGATCGAAAGGTAAACGTCCAGTCGAAATTTACTTCAAGACAAATATTTGGTCCATAACGCGAACCAAGATGCAACTACCTCCATGGTTCGTCGTTGAATCTGAACTTTGATGTTCTATTCGAGTTCTTGGTTCCCAGTACACAGAACCGTCTATCGCGTGACACTAATTTTAAACAACTGTTTGCTCGTTTCCGGTTTTGGAGAGATCCGATTTCACCTTATCCTTCTAGGATGCAGTGCATCGCGCGGTGACATCTTTTCACCGTTCGAGCAATTTCAGCGATTGACCTTCTTTCCACAATTCTTACCAGTAATCCACAAATTGCGACCAAGTAAAATCGCGAACAATATTAGAAACATGTGCGAGTCATCCCATGTTTTCTCGCGGCAGCTAAACTATCTCGAACTGGTTTTCTCGAATATTGCGCGATCATTGTTCGACACGCGAAAAGGAAAACTTCGAGTCGGAAAAATAAGGCCGTTCCGTATGCAACAACCTTAATAAACCGTTAATCGTAACGCGTCGGAGTTTCTCGATGCTCGTCACAGCCGGTTACATCGCCGCGCGTCTCGTAACTTTGTCCCTTACGTCATGTTCCAAAGAAACGCGAAAGACGAGGCGCGTGTCGCAAGCAGTTCGCCTCGTTCGATCGAGAACCAACCACCGGGAGAAACTTCTCTTATCCGCCGCGAAGGGAACCGGATCGCTGAAACTGGACCGACGGAAGCGTTCGTTCAGGAAGCGCGGCTACGACTCCAGACTTTCGATTTCCCTCGCGATCGTGGAAACGTAAATTCGAACTACCGACAACAGGAATCGCGATTTTTATATAATTATTCTACTCTTATTTCAGGACAGAAATAAAAAGCCATTGCTTGTCCCGAGGTTACAGAATTTCAATCAAGATTAAAAATGTCTTCTTTACGTTGAACCAAAGAGTTTGACTGGGATCGTGGATCTTTTCAGGCTACGCCATGTTGTTCCTGGCCGTGACAGCGTGTCTGGCCGTCGCGGTTCAGGCCGGATGCCCCATGCGACCGACCGCGGAACAAACTTCCGCAAAGAGGACCGTGGGCGATGGCGGCTACAAGATCCTTGTTAGCGGAGAGGCCGACAGATACATTCCGAATGCCGTGTACACGATCAGTTTGCAAGGTAACGTTGCTCGTTCCATGTTTGCTCGAACACGAAAAAACGAGGATTTTTTCGTCGGTTTCAGGGTCGAGGACTCACGAGAGGCTGCAACAATTCACGCGTTTCACGCTCTCGGTGCACTCGCAACACGCCCCGAATAATCCCGCAGCTCGAGTAGGATACTTCCAGCTATTCCCGGACTCTCTGACCACCTTCAACGAGGACTGCGTCAACACCATCTCCGAGGCCTCCGGTCTCCCCAAATCGGAGGTAAACACGTCCGTCGACGGATACTTTTCTTCCCCTTTTTCGTTTCGAAGTCGAGCCTGAGCCCGACGTATCCGACGCGTGGAAGCTCGCGAAGGTCGATCGCTAAGATAAATTCTCTGCGGCTGGCAGCCGGCCAGAACACGATGGTGTTTGATTCCTCGACGTTATCGTGGCCGGAGGCCCGCGGATTTCCTGCAACGGGTCTGTAAAACGTTTCTTACCGCTGGCGTAGATCCAAGTGATGTGGAAGGCACCGCCGTCCGGATCAGGATGCGTTATCTTTACGGCCATGGTTCTGGAGAATAACGTACGATGGTACGCCGAGGACGGCGGTCTTACGAAGACCTTCTGCGAGATGGGACCTCAAGAGGTGGAGATCCTCGACGTCGACAAGTGTTGCGCCTGCGACGAGGCCAAATACTCGGTGTGTATTTCGTTACTCTTTAAAAATAAAGTCTGCTCCGCTCGAAACAAATGAAATTATTACGTTCGTTGGTACAAAGGTAGCGAGATATAGCTCCTGAAAGAGGATATAGTATATTTTTTGGGGTATCGTTCCTGGTAATCTGTGCTAGCGAGTTTTTAACGTACCTGTTCGCCTCAGTTGACTATGGAGGGAATCTGGTCGAACGTGACCCACCCGAAGGATTTCCCGTTCTCGGCCTGGTTGACCCATTTGAGCGACGTGATCGGCGCGTCCCACGATCCGAGCTTCTCCTTTTGGGGCAAAGACCACGTAGCCACCGATGGCTTCCGGCAATTGGCCGAGTGGGGCTCGATATCGGGGGTGGAGAACGAGCTCAGAGCTAATTCGAATAAATTGAGGACACTGATCAAGGCCGCCGGCCTTTGGTACCCGAACGTAAACACCAACACAACCACCAGCTTCAGGTAACGTTCCTCTGTTTCCATTAACCCATTAGAACTTGCAGACCTTCGTCAAATATAAGTTTCTGCAAATGCAAAACATGGTTTTACGTATCTTCCATGATATTCGTTCCACCTCGAAAGCTTTTTGTCTTCGCAGGGTGGACAAGAAGCACCCCATGTTGTCCGTGGCCTCCATGCTGGGACCGTCTCCCGACTGGGTGGTGGGCGTCAGCAAGCTGAGTCTCTGCAGAAAGGACTGCACCTGGACGAAAAGCGAGATAATCGATCTGTACCCGTGGGACGCGGGCACCGACAACGGGATCACCTACATGTCGCCCAACTCCGAAACGATACCGCGCGAGAAGATGAAGCCTATCACGACCTTGTACCCCGAGGACCCCAGATCGCCCTTCTACGACCCGAGCGGGAAACCTATGCTGCCTTTGGCCAGGCTCTACTTGAACAGGGAGAAGATAGTACCGAAGAGCTGCGACGAGGAGACCCTTCAGCAGCAGGTCACGCAACTCGAGGTCGCCGAGAACACGGAGGACAGCTCGAGACGTACGAATATCATTGCTCCCAGTCGCTAGTTGCTCGACGTTTAGTACCGATGTAGTTGTATTATGTACCCTCTGCTTTTGCGATATCTTTCTGTGTCGTGACTTCGCGGAGGATTAGTAAAAATTCAGAATAAGGAGAACGTGTATGTTTCTTTTCCTTTACGAACGAAGCTGAGTGTCGTACTTCGGACTACACGCCATGGTCGACATGCTCGGTGAGTTGCGGCAAAGGGCTCAGAATGCGTACCAGGACCTACTTGATGTCGGAGAAGGCCGTCATGTTCAATTGCAACAGACAGCTGGTGTCGAAGGAGATGTGCGTGTCAGAGGTTCCGGAATGTCCGTGAGTATATCTAACTAGGTGGAGGATTAAACTCGTCGAATTTATGTATCGAACGAAGGATAATACACTTACCAAAATGTGACTTCAGAGGCGAGGAGGAACCGGAAGTGGGCGACGTCTTGCTCGCCGCAAACAACGCTTTCTGCGGGACCACGGAATGGTCCGCGTGGTCCGAGTGCTCCTCAACGTGCGGAGTCGGGATGAAGTTGAGAACGAGAAAGTTCACGGACCGAATGGGTCGTAAAAAGTGTCCTCACGTAACCGTCATGGAGAAAGAGAAGTGTATGGAGCCACCCTGCCCATCCGACTTGGAGGAACAAATTGATCCTACGTGCAAGGTATGTCCTAACAGAGTTTCTCTGTACCTCTTCGACTTTACTCGTTTCAACGTGCCTCGCACGATTCTTTGACGGAGTCGAAACAGTATTAAGAAAGTCCTCCGAGCTTTCTATTTCTCTCTAAGGTCACCGACTGGTCCTATTGGTCGCCGTGCAGTGCTTCCTGCGGAAAGGGGGTGAAGTTGAGGACCAGGCTCCTGATGGTCGAGCCGTCCAAGCAACAGAAATGTTCGTCCAAGATGGAACTGTTGCAGCAACGGCCGTGTTTGGAACAGGCTGACTGCACCTTCGACATGGCAACCGCGAAAGGTGTTTCTCCGTTCACTGTTTCTGATTCTGTTATGTCGATTTGTTATTATAATTTGATTTTTAGTGGTTTGCATGGAGGAAACGGATCCTGGGCCTTGCAGAGGATACTTCCAAAGGTGGGCGTTCGTTCCACAGAAACTGATGTGCGTACCTTTCGGCTACGGTGGCTGTCGCGGTAACAGGAACAATTTCTTGACCGCGGAAGAGTGCACCAACACGTGTGGTATCGTGAGTAAACTTGTCAGCATCGTGGCTAGTCGCATCAGTCGTAAAAGTTATATTTTGCACAGGTCCGCGCGATTCTTACTGGGGAGCCCTTGAACTCTACTAGTTCTCAGCAATCGTTTCAGTCCCCAGCGTCTGTGAACTGCGTCGTGACAAACTGGACCCCTTGGTCACCCTGTAGCGTCACTTGTGACACAGGTCGTGTCACCAGCTATCGTACAATCAAGGTGAAATCTTCTGAAAATCGTTCGCAGATGGTCGAGCGTTCTTTAACAATCAATTAATCGAATCTGAACTTTCAGCAAGAAGCACAGAACGGTGGACACCCCTGTCCCAAGAAGTTGCAACGTCGTTCTCGATGTCAACTCGCACCCTGCGAGTAGCACACACTGTAAACGCGAATTCAAAACAATACATTTATCTTCGAACGAGTACAGTGACCAGTTGAAAAACCGAGACAAATTTTAGATGTAATTTTTCTACGAGATGCTGGGTATGAAATAAACCGATGTATCAGAATAAATGGTATTTTATTAATGGTCATTCGTGATCGTCCTACTCTCGGTCGAATTATCCAAATACACACGGCTGCTATGGGCAAACATAATCCGAGATTTGATCTTTTTGGAATTAATCTGCCTTATTGCGTTCGGTTTTCCGGTCGTTAACAAATCGTGCCAAGCGATGGTTCCGCGATCGAGAACGTTAACATGTTTCTGTAGCTACGGAGAAACGTGTACAGTGCTCGAAGATCGATTGAACTATTTGTAGAAACAAGCCAGGATCGTTCTTCTCGATTCCAATCTCCTTCTTAAGCATTCGTTCGATCCTCTTCTATCGACTCGCGACCGTACAACACCGACGTTTCGATTCGTACTCCGATGATTGTACAAAATTCGTATAGCTTTATCAAATACACTTATGATTTCGTGATAATTCAAGATCTCCAAGACGGATGCTGCGCTGTCGGAAACGATATATAATTTTCGATCTCGTGAAAAAATGTCGCTAAATTCGTACGACTACTACTCGTGTTCAAAGGATACGATCTATTTTTTGTTCGATTACTTTGTTATTAATAAAACAGTTGGTTCCGTTTTTGCGTTTTGTTGAGTCGTTTCTCCATTTTTTTTTTTTTTTTTGTTCGTTCATCCTTTCCCTCTTCGTCTGATTCTCCCATTTTTTATCGTTTTTTTTTACAACAATAACCGCTCACAATATAACATTCACTACAACTTTGTTTGCCAAGTGGACATCTATCTTTACATTTACAATAATAATCTCATAAATAATACACGTAGGCGGTATAGTTACTAGACGTATGGTCTTTCAGGTTCGCGAAGAACGACTTGCCTCGCGGTTCCTGACAGCACGTTAACATTAATAGTATTTATTATTATCATACGTACACGTAATATCTAGGAAGTAGTACGGATCTTCGTCTCTGTTAGGCCTCTACTCGACTACGCTACGGCCCCTTCTTTGGTCGTGACACTTTTACCTCGTCTTCCCCGCTACGTGAACGACTAAGGGAAAAATCTCCATGAACGCGACGAACGAAGTCCGTTGAAACACGCGATAAAGAAGTTTTTTTTTTTTCGGAAGCTCCACCGTGTAGAAGTTTCTTGAAAGTCCAAGGCAATCCTCCTTGCGCGCTACCCGCCATTGGCGATTCCCGTTTGGAAACGACTATCGACCGGCAGGACTATTGCCCTAATTTTCAAGTGCGAGAACTCCCTATCTTTCCCTTCCATTCGATAAACACGATGGAACCTCGGTTGTTCGAACGAATCGTGGTAAATCCTGTCACCGAGACGTGTTCGAAAAAGAGTTCGGATAATCGAGGCCCCAACGCGGCACTAAAAACGAAATTGGTTCCGTTAACGAGCATAAAACGTTTCGTTAGGCGTCTGACTAGATTTCGTTGAACAGTCAAAATAAAAAAGTAAGAAACCCCCCAGTTGGATTCGGGGGACGATAGAAAAGCGCCGGACTTCAGTAGACCAGCTTCCTGAAGCTATTCCGATAAATTCGACGCGAACGTGATTCCGCTAAAACGATTATAACAATACTCCACGATTCTTCCATTAGTAATAATCATTGTCCTTAGAATTTAACGCGCCACTATGACTCTGGTCCGATCAAAATCAACTGGTCGTTCAAGCTTTCGAGGCGGAGTACATCCCCGCTGTTCTGTCGCTCTCGATGTAAAATCTATAAGGATATTTTTGTTGTTTGGGGCCCACCGGAGATTTTGCAACCCGCAAATACAGAGTGGGTCTCCAGTGGCGATTGGATCAGGATTCACAAGGTGGGACGTGGATCTTGAGCGGCCAGTTGATCGTCTCCTCGACTGTAAACGTCGTTTCTCTCTTTCGTACGAGATCGTCTGACTAGTGTGCTGACTAGGCTAGTTACCGTCGACCCATTCGCCCCTTCCGTTCTGGCAGTAGTTGTAATAGTAGCAGTACGGCGTTTCAGGGTGACACGGAGACGGACGAAATGGTTTCCCTTCGCGGTACAAAATCGCCCGATGAACGACGTTCTCTCGCGAAAAGTCTAGGAAATCTTTTTCCTTACGGGGGAATTGTTCCATCAGAGGTCAAAAAACGCACTGGTACAAATTCTCCGCAAGGATACGACCCGTACCCGGAAGCATCAATGGTAAATACTGAACGACGGTGTGTCACGAATGCCTAAAAATCTCGCGAGTTCCGGGTTGTTCGCGCGATTACCAAAGTCCCGGGGACTCTCGATCGAAGGGAGGAGGGCTGACCGATGGGTCGACGAACGGGGGGGCGTTGTTCGCGAGATTCACTTATACTTTAGGCGATACAGTGTCTGTTTAAGTCTCGGTGTCGTCGCGAGAAAGGCATCATTGTGCGTATGCCGACGACGACGACGCGATCGATGTCGTCGTCCCAGCCATCGCGGCTGACGGAAACGAAACGAAACTCTCCAATGTTCGTCCACTTTGCTAGCTGACGCGTCGCACCCTGGCGACCGAGGGGTCGTCTCAGAGCCATCCGCCCGACACGTCGTGGCCCGATATCAGCTCGATGCCCTGCAGACGCTGCAGCTGCGTCGCCGAGCCGTTTCTCTTCATGGTCACCGAGATAGACCCGCTGGCGATCATGCTCTCCTCGGTCGTAGACGGCGTCAGTGGAACGGCCGTTACCACCGCTGAACAGACACAAAGGAATCTCTGTTTAGCTACCGTAAACGCCGGGTCAAAGGTCGGCCAGCAAAGGCTGATGATCAACGAAACTAAGCGCGTTCGCATTCGACCCAAAGTTTCTAGTTTCTAGAGACCCTCACTTTGTTAGAGACAGGAGAGTCGGTCAGCTAGCTCGATCACTTTATTTGGAACTCACCAGGTTGCTCGTTCATGCTCGCGCCTTCCGGAGTGTCGATGCTGGGCTGTTGACTCTGCGTGCCCTCGTGCCTCCTGGGGGGGATCGGCTGCTGGCCCAGTTCCGGGCCCCTGGCGGGTACGCTGCTCGCTCTGTGCAGCGGCTGCTTCCTCGATACCCTGGAGATGAACGCTGACGCGATCGGATTCAACGGATTCGAGCCGTTGGTGCTCCTCGTGGCCGGGGTCGACGATCTGGAGGCCGAGAATTTCTTCCGTTTCTTCCGCAGCGCCGCCAAAGCGCCCAGGCCGTGAGCGAACACGTGATGAGCCTCGTGATGATGCGAATGATGCGAGTGATGGGAATGGTGGGGCTGGACTTCATGGCCGGGCGTCTCCAGCGAGGACTTTGAGTCCGTGGAACCCTCCGACCTTGAACCGCCGTCCTCGAACGTGGGCGAGTACACGGAATCCTCCGAACGAGATCTACCTAAGAAAGCGAGAGCAAACGGCTTCTTAATATTCGTCGTCCAGCGCGGACGTGATCAGCGATTTAAAAACACGTCGATCTTTCTTCAAAGTGAAATATTACGGATACGTAAATCTCGAACGAGCGTAACTTTGCATTTCGATGATATAACTCTGATTCTTAATTAAAGTTCGACGTTGTTTCGACGAGCTTACCGATCAGCCTGGAGACTCTGCCAGCCTTGGCCGCCTCGATGATGTTCTCCCATCGTTTTTTGCTGGAGGATCCCCTGGTACCGCGTCCCTGTCGCCTGGTGCCCAGCCCGGGCACGCTGTTCGTGCTCGTGTGGTGGGAGCTTCGTTTCGGGGTGGTCCCGGGCGCGAATATGCCGCTCAGAGTCGAGCCGAACACGTCGTGGGAGTTCTCGTTCTGTGCTTCTTGGAGGGACGCTATGAACTCGTCGACCGGCGGCAGACTTCCGCTTCCGCTCGGCTGCGGTCCGATGTTGAACCCCTTCATCAATCGTCGTTCCTTCTGACGGTTCTTCTTGCCCCCCGCACCTATGGACAGCTCTTTAAGGCTACCGCCTACGAGGCAGACAGAAAGCCAACGACTATGCTCAAGCAGCTACTAAAAACTGAAGGAAACTTAAAGAAAATAGGCGTGTAAGTGGCGTGATAACGGACGTCGACTCAGATAATTGCTCGCGACGCGATACCGCCGTAATCGGCGAGGGTCAATTACGATAAACGACAGGTTTTCCAGCCGGAGGTTCCCGGTGTCTTTATAGTTTTAAGTTGAACGAGGTAACGACAACGTAATATCCGCGCCAGACTACCCTTAATTGCATTAATTAGTCTCCCGCAGCTCCCCCGGATGATTAATAGCGTTCCAGTAACGAACTTCGAAACTTTCATTTACGAAGGATGAAGCTCGCTAACCGGCGTAGATCCTCCGTTGCAATTTTCGAGTCGTCTACGCAACCTGCTAACGTACTTTGCATCTCGCGATCGCTAGAGTTATACTACCGTGAGGGATTCTACGTAGGTAACCGAAATAATCTGCGCTAGCGAATCGTCTACTGATCGTGCAAAGTGGCCTCACCGGTTCCGGCCCCGCTCGCCGTCGACGTGTTCATCCCGGAGTTCTTCAGGATCTCGATCAGCTCGCACCGAAACGCGCTGATGTCCTGCTTGATCTCGTTCACGTCGTCCTCCGTCACACCCTCGCTCTCCGCCTTCCTCTGCTCCACCGTCACGTACCTCCTAACCAGGTTCCTCATAATGCTTTGGTACCGAATGTCCCTCTCGGAAGCTTGCTTCACCTTTCTCTAACAACGGGCAAGAAAACAGATCGTTCGTCTTCGAGATCGTCCAAACCGGAATTGGGCTTCGCGGACGAATACGAATCGTAGATCGTAAACTGACGTCGGTAAATTTTTAAAAGGAAATTTTTATAGTGTGATCTACAATTTTTATTCGCCTCTGACGAGAGTTTGCCCAATTCTGGCTGAACGAACGAGGAGGCGATTTATCTAGAATCAGTCTCACTCTGATCGTTCGCATGTGTTCCTTCTTGGCGGCTCTGCTGTGACCGCAGAGCTTCCGATACAACCATTGGCCCATGTACCAGATACTTTTCGGGGTTGGGATAATGTTGAACGGCGGTGGCACCGTTCCGCCCTCCTCGAAGTAACTGATCCACAGCTTGCTCCTGGCGAACTTCCATTCCACGTCCGCGCGTTCCTGAGTGGAATTAGGAAACGAACGTTACCCCGCAGCGGCTGATTTCCGCCACGTTTGATTTAAAGCTGTTCGTGCACTCGATCAGTCGAGTAGCTCCAAACTAATTTCGATCGATTTCGAATTTATTCTCGTGGAAACGGTAAAAGCAATAAAAGTGATTCGTTGACAATTTTCGAGCGCTCGAACAGCTCTGGTTCGAGCTATCGACTCACGGATATCAACTGATAGGAATGGTTCATCATGGCGATCAGAAGGTTCAATAGCACGACGATGTTGATGACCGAGTAAGTGCCGAACATGAGCATTCCCCAGAACCTGGTGAACGATTTAATGCCGTCCAGCTCGAAGCTCTCGAGGTCGACCAGTCCGAACACGGCCCAGAAGAGCGTTTGCGCGGTTTCGAACAGACTGATGGGAATCGTATTATAGAACTCGTTATACTAAACAGACGGAAACTTCGTGAGCGTGTTTCTTCGTTAATATTTATTACGTACTTGGCGAAACGCCGCCAAACGATGCAGGCATTCGAATCGGTGGTGACGTTGGCGTTAGGGGAATGAGACATCGCGGTCGGGCAACGTTTCTTCTCCATGACGGCGTAGTACCAAAGCAGCTGGTTCAGGCCTATCGAGGACGATCGATTGATTAGCATATCGCCGGGACGAAAATAAGAGGCGCGCGTTCAAAGAATTTTGACTGATCCGTTTACCGCAAGAGAATGCGAACAGCACCAACACGTAGAGGAAGAAGAATTTCATAATGTCCATAACCATTCTGGACAGGGAGACCTGCAGGGGGCCGAGGTGAGGATTCACGGAGAAAATGTAGACGAGTTTCAAAGAGCTGGAAGAATATCAAACGACTTTCACGCTCTGTGTTCAATTACGCGTCGCGGTCGAAGGGCGTGGACGCGACCGGGGGCGTTTTAAGTAAAGTAAAAATTAATGCTGCGAGAGAAATTCCTAATTAACACCGGCGGGAATTCGCTAGTTTCGAAATACGGGAACTCGTAATTACCCTTTTAATTAAAACCGCGACGCGCGAAATATTAACGGAAACGAGCTGGGAACAACGTTTTCGTCTCTCGGATTATTGTTTATCGATCGCGATTAACGAGAGGTGGTCGAACCCTCCGATCCGCCTGGACAAAAATACCGACCTGAATATATTGGCGGCGGAGAAGAGACCCTCGGAGATGAGCATCGGGTCCCATGTGTCCCATTGCTCGCGCTGCAGCTCGAACACGATTTGGGGTCCCTGGCTCTCCATCTCCTTTTGCACCCTGTAGTACGCAACCACCCTCAACGCGACCGTCGCGACGTACAGAGAGTTCGTGACGAAGTCGATCACGTTCCACATGTCGTTCACATACTCCTCGAGACCGACGTCCCACAGTTGCTTCACCTCGGACCAAATCAAACCGGACACCCAGGCCAGGATGAACCTGCGATACACAAGTCGATTCGATTCTCGCGAAACTCTGCGCCCGTCGGGACGCGCCTCGAGACGTCAAAGTCGCCTAGAAATGCAATTTCGAACGTCTCTTGGCCCCCCCTATCCCTGCAACCATTCGATTCCGGCGGAAGTAATCCGGGGTAATATCGCCTGGGACGAGCAGATTTTCTTTTTCGTTGTAAAGGGGTCCCATGAGACTTATTTATTTGGTTTGGATAATAAAATTCTAATCGTACGATTACATATTCCCTGTAGGTTCCTAGTTTACCGATACGTCTACTCCAAGAGATAGGCATATATGTATTTATCGAGCTTAAAAATTGCCGAATGAACTGACTCTTTGGCGCACGGTATACAGTTTCTCTTCTTGCGATCGAATCGGGACGCTGAAATGGGGATTTAATCGCGCAGTTGCTGGCAACTCGGCCCGAAGAAACGGCGGTGGTGGTAATTCCATCGCGTAAGAACTCCAACAGAGATTGATGCAAGAAGCGGGGCAATAGTGGCACTTGTACTTGGGAACCTTGGCAGACGGTCCGTGGGAAAAATAATAATCGACTGCTCGTCCGTTTCCACCCTTTCGCGTACTCCCCTCGTTGACGCAAACGGGAACAAACAGTAGTTAAAAATATTTTCTTACCACTCGATGATGGTTGGCGCGGCGCCCCTTTTCGTCGGCGCTGGCTCGTGCTGCGGGACGTTGTGACCCACCCAATCGCCAATCAAGCCTTCTATTCTTTGACTAGCCAAGATCAACATGACTGCGAACAGACACACGCGTTAGAATCGAGGTCTAGGACAGGGATGATGGCCGTCTGCCATCGCGAAACAAAAATGGATATTAAATGGTATTTGAAATCTATGCTGCTCGCGATTCGCTCGAATTTGTCGCTACCGAGCTACGGCTATCCGTGTCCAATGATTTGCGAGCGTGACTTTCACTCGCGTCGAACGTTCTTTCCTTCGAGACGTTCGATGTAAAAGGAGTCCGTTTACATTCCATGCTTTTTGCCCGAAAGTTTATCGAATTCGGCCCGGCCTCGTTTCCAGCGACGTATTTTACCTTTCGGCACGTCGGCAAGTCAAACATCGAAGCCTACCACCAAACAGTTTAGAAATACCTCTCAGTACCCGTGGCTTTACGAATACCTAAACCAATAATAGCCGGCACGGTAATGCTCTAAATTTGAGACATCAGTCGCCATTATAGACTGGAATGATAGGGCCAAGTAGCAGTAAAATACATAAAACAAACATCAAAGAAACTTCGCTGTTAGTCAGTACTTCTTGTAATAATCGAGGGTCTCTCCTTGCAAAACTTTTTATGGTAAAATACATATTTTTTATTTTCACTTTAGCCTAAATTTCCTGTACGTTGGTGGAGGCTGTGCGCTAGAGCATGGGTTTTCTTGATAGAATTCTTGTGTGGGGGGTTCCATCGTCGCCACTTTACGCGCTCTTTTATCGCGAAACACTCTGCGACGGAGGTCGTAGGAATTTAATGTGACCGCAGTTGGAAACTCGACCGCGGATAGCCCGTTTCGAGAACGGCCTCGAGAGCGCGACTCAAAGGACCAGCTCAAGGATAGAAGCTCCGCGAGCACGGAAAAGCGTAATTGACCCGGAAGTTAGGCTAACGATATTTTGAGTCACGAGCAACGGGCGAAGGTAATGCACTCTCCTCGAGGACGCGACGAATTTCAGCAGATTATTCGGGAACAACTTCGGTTAATCTCGAGAGAGGAGGGGGGCAATACGCTCGTATTCGCGTAAATCAGGGCTTTCTAACCTGAGCCATACGACCCACCCCTCGGTTTACCACGAACGAAAATAGAAAAAAGAGGAAGTCGCTTTACTTTACTGACCGCTGCTGACACACGGCGGTTTGCTATCAATAGTGGTCGTAGGTTTCTAATCTTTCCGCCTAAATCGTTTTATAACGACTAAGTTGCTCGCGGATACGCCGTACTAGCTCGAAAATAAATACTTACAGAGGAAAGTGAAGTAGGAGGCCGAGTGACAGATGAACTTGATGAACGGTTTCCTCATGGTTTGACCGACCACGCTGTGCGGCGCGATTATGTAGCCGACACTGAAGAATGGGAAGAAAACGCCGATCCGGAGGATCTCCAGGGCTTGGAGGACCATGTTTTTCCGCCGGAAACCCGGGAGGCCCTCGTACCAGATCGATGCCAGTAGCTGTTGCACGTTAGGATGGGCCACGAACTGGAAATTTCGGGATAATCTAATATCGGTCGACCGGTTTCCGGTCATGTCACGGGGAAATTGTACTTATTACGGTCTAATCTACGTGCTGGGAGTCGTCGCGAGCGATTCGTACGAGACTGACGAGATCACATCGTCGTTTACCTTCTTCTGTCTGAATTTGATCGCCAGTTTGAGCCGATTCAGATGCATCCTCTCGCCGTGCTCGAAAGCTGGCCCGGTGGGATCGTGATTCAGCAGGATCTCCAGCTCTTTGGAACTTCTGGTGTGATCCAGCAAGGCAGTGGCGAAGTCCTGGCACTGTCTTCTAAGCTCCTGGAAACCCAACGTCAACGTTTTCAGCAACAAATAAGCGACAACAACGACCAAGTCGCGAAAAAGTTCCTTCGAAGCGACTGTTTATAACTTCCATCGACCGAAGTTCCTTTCGCCGGGTACTTGAACGCAAGTACAACGACGTCGCGAAACTTCTTCTTTAAGAAACAGGTAACGCGTCTGGGACGCCGTTTCCCACGAGCGCTATCCAACGTTGAATTTTCTTGGGTCACGTTTACCCCAAGAATTCTTCTTGTTTCTTCGCGCGAACGGCACTTTATTTTTCGGGGAAACTTCGAGGGTAAAACGTCCCCGACGGTGGAAACAGCGTCGAGCTATTTTTTTAAAGATCGGACCTGAAGATCTTCGGATTACAATCCTTTGAAACTTTATCTCGCGAAACGGTGGAGGGACGAAATTCCGATCGGATAATAATTCGCGTAAAAGATCCATTTAAACGACCATCCAAGCACTCGTCGTATCGGATATTATTGTGTTCGAATCGTGGAACAAAGAGACCGTCCAATGGGATGGAAAAATATCGAAACAATCGTCGGAACAAGTACGCGATGCAACCAAAGTAAATACGAGGTAAATAGATTTCCACGGAATATCGTGGAACGGTCGATGGAATTGCGGTTTGAAAAAGATCTCAAGATGGCTCCATAGACTGTCGGGGGGCAGGGGAGGGGGGAAGACTGGAGCTGTCGGATGTTTTTACCGTAGGAAAAGGAGAAGACTGACGAGGATCGGCTTCCTATACCCTATACCCGTTAATCGTTTACCGATTATCCGACAGGCCCAATCAATTCCCCATCAGGGATGATTTATTTCAGCCACAACGCGATTACGATCGAATCGTTGAATATCTTCGGTAACTTCCGCCTTGGTCGACAATCTCTGCGCCCGGTTCGTTCGTCTGGCTGGAAAAACGATCCGAGCCGGAAACGGACGACGGAAACGTTCAGAAATCATACGTATCCGCCATCCATCGAGGCCGTATTTGGCGGCTTCGTGCCAACGCACACATTCGCCACATCAAAGCGATACGCGAACGAGTATGTTTTGCCAATATCGTGATCGTGAAGCTTACCAAAATATTGTAATTCGATCTTCCGCGAAGCAAGTTCTCCAAAAGAATTATTATCTCGCGACAGAAATTGGATTGATAACTTTCATCCGGGTCGATCGTCCTCCTCTTCGTCTTCGTCTTCGTCTTCGTCCAACGCGATAGAGATCCTTCGATCCATTTCTCCAACTTCGACGTACTTCGAGAAGTTTAAGAAACCGCGATTGGTCTTGGCTCTTATCCATATCTAGATCACGCTTGCGAAAATGGATTAAAGAATCCATCATTCCGTGATCTTCCGTCGTATTGGATAAAGACGACGTCCAACGCGATTCGTTCGAACGAAGAGTCTCGATGTCTCTGATTTGTCTTTCTACCAAGAAGACGGATTCGAGGCACGAATACGCGCGATGTTTGTGCAAATTAACAGCGCCGTCACCCCGCCGGAAAACACGGTGTCTCGCGTCGGAGAAATGATCGCACGAGAGGAACGAAATTGAAAAACGCGGGAATGGTTTTCTTCCGTTCGCGTATCCACCGTTCGCCGACGTTCGATAATATTTTTGCAGCCACTGGCTTGTTTATGTTACTTGTAAAGCATTCGATTTTGTTCCTGTCCCAAAAACAAAAAGCGAGTCAATATCGCGTTCAGGCCCGCCGGAAACTCGACAAAGCAAATAATTCGAGCGCGGACGTTGAAGCATCGGCTCGGAGATTTCGATTTACGGTGCTCGATTTCCACTTAATTCCCATCTTCTTGTCCAATATGATTACGGTTGCGTTATTTACAATTTTACGAGCACCAGGGTTCCTCGATGCTCTTCCCAATTTTATCTACGATGGTCCAAGGGCGGACGGAGTCGATAGCTGAATAAAATATCTATTTTAAATTTCATAGTCCCGCGGGGTTTTTCGCGAGGCTCGGACATTCCAAGTTTCTCTCCGCGAATATATTTTCCGCGGAAAATAAATAACGAAAGGGGGAAGAAAGGCTTATGTATTCAAGGATTCGCGCGAGGCGAATGGTATACGGTGGCGTTTCGTATCACGGCGGATCCTCGAGGACGACGCTGTCGCATTTTCGTATTCCATTTTCGTAATACCTCTCGAAAACGCGACGGGCCACCGGTGCCACGCGGAACGAAACCAGCTGCTCTCGACGAATCAGCGCAATTTGTTTTCAATGCGGCCGAGAGTAGAATGGAGTTCGCGGAACGATCCCGACGATACGAGAAGCGTCGAAGACAAGGGGGGTTTGGACGTACAATCTCGAGTTTCGCCGATTTACAAGGAGGGACCCGTGAACGCGAAAAGAAACGTTCGGAACCGAGAGGAAAAGTAGGACAGACCGGGAAGAGATGGGAACGAAACTCCCAACTTTCGAAGGTTGTTTTATATTTCTCCCGCTGGATTCGCAGATACTTTTTCGGACCGGGATCACGTTCCCACGAGCAAATTGAATTTCGCGGTCCGCTTTCCAGCGTTACCGGAGGATCCGCCGACGAAGATCCATCGTTTTTCTTTCGGGAAAGTATAAGCTGGGACGATTAAATTGTTCGGAGTGGACGGCAACGAAATATCAACGCGATACTCCCATTCGTTCGACGCTTTTTCATCCATTTATTATACTACGTACTAAAACTGTATATAATTGCATTTACTGATAGGGAAACTAGAAGATAGTCTCATTGGTAGAACAACAATTGCTTTGGCGTCAAGGATAGAACGCGCCGGATCAATAAGTTTTTTGGATTTTCGCCAAACGGCGGAAAGAGACACGGGAAAAGCATGTGGCGACGAAAGAAGCCAAGGGAATGGAAACCAGTTTACCCTGAAGCCTGTCGCGGATGGTCGCCATCATGATTTATTCTTACATAAATCAAAAGTTAGTAGACCGTGCTGAGCATCTCAACTTCCGCCGCGCCGAAAGAAAGATAAAGACTCGGCGGAGGCAAAGTACGTTTGACAAACTTTGGCCTCCGTCTCTAGCCTTGATTAGGCCTCTTCTTGTACCTAACCACGGGGATGAAGCGCCATTTTCACCCAGGCAGATTCTGCATTCTTCAAGAGTAGAATTTATTGCTACAAATACATGGAATTTTGAAAGTATCGTCCCACAAAGCCTTTATGCACAGAGTCTTCGAATCATTAAGTTCCTGAAATTGAAATTTTCGGGCAACATTTCTGGTCTCACGTCATATTGTCGGTAATTAATTTTTTTCTCGAAACTGGGTACGATTTCGGGGGTATGTCTATTCACCAAAAATGATTGTAATTGAGTCTCGAAACCGAAAATAATTTTTTTACAACGATTTGAAACTTTTGAATTTCGACGAATTTCAGGGGAATCGTCATTCATGGTCAGACATTGTATTTTCGGTAAAGAATTTTTTTCTCGAAACTGGGTAGGATTTCGGGGGTGTGTCTATTCACCAAAAAATATTGTAATTGACCCCCGCGACCGAAAATAATTTTTTCAGAATGATTTGAACTTTTGTAATTTAATTTTTTAATAACTTTTTAACGAAGCCTCAAGAAAAATCATTGAAATTTTTTTCCAGGGATGGCCGAGACCCTGCATGTTGTATGTAAATGTAATATTGAAAGTATATGGAAAATTTAATGGCACAATTCCTTTTGGAAGCCTGCATAAAATGGAAATTCTATTATGGGTCGATACGATCCATTCGCCTGTCGCGTCTATCTGAAACCATCGAGGGTCGAAGATATAGAAATAGCTTTGCTCAAAGAATTTAACCGATAGAACGTAAATCGGTCTGTCCCTTTGCAAACGATGGGCGTTCCAGTTGTAATGGTAATCGCGTCGTTTCGCGCTGTCGTAGTAATATTTATGGTTTTGTAAATAACGTGTTTCCGTCTCACCTGGTATTCGCACTTGAATTCGTGCTCGAGAAAGGAGAGCCTTCGAAGTTCCCAAGAGAGCTCAAAGGCAGTCAGAATAGGATCCTTTGAGGAAAGAGCGATCAAGGACGGCGAAGCCAGTGCCCTGTAGGCGTTTATACGGCTCCTGGAATGCTTCAGGGAATCGTCCTTTCGAGACGTTACGCACTCGTCGCACCTGCGGATCACGAAACCGACGATAATAAGCGTTCTGGCGAATCTCGCCCGCGAAAGTACACGAACAGTGCCACTTGCAACTTTTAACGAGCGAACTGTGCCAAAGTGGCGCAACCGAAAAATGCAACTTTCGAGCCGCGACAAACAAACAGTAGAACATAGACGTTCTGCCGGTCGTGAAAATTTTATGGAGTTTATACGAGCTGTTCCGAAATCAGACGAGAGCATAAAAAAACAAGCTCAAAAGGTAAATTTGTTTCGGTTCCGTTCCGTTCCAAAACTCTGCAGGACGCGCCTTCAAAGAAGCCGAATAATTTTTTTTTTAATTAGTTTTCAACGGGGAAAATTAGGCCATACAGAGAACTGTGTGATAAATAGGACCAGAGAAATTGCGTTTCAAAGTTTCGCGAAAAAGGTGTATAAAACGCGTTTGACAGGGCAATTTTTTCCAAATTTTAAAACGCCACATCTCCGGTCCTTTTGATCGCACATTTCTGTAGGGTCTTTTTTCGTCGAAAAATAATAATGAAAATTATTTTACGCAACCGGGGACACGTCCAAATATTTTCTGATTGTAGAAACGCCAAGAAACTGTTTACAAAAGGGGGGTTTCTCTTGGATCGTAATCTTTTTCACGTCGTCGTTATTTAAGGCAAACATCCCTCGGCCGATGTTTACGGAATTTCGAAATTTCAGTTCCAGCCAGGGGGATAGGTTTATCGTACATGACGAATATAATGCGATTCGCCGGATGAAATTTCATTCTGCCGATAGGGGAGCGCGCAGTGCATCTACCCTAACGTAATTAGCTTGCGTGGAGTCTGGTCGGAGATTGCAAGGGCAAGAAGGTGCTAAACCAGGCCGAGGGAATTAATCAGAGTGTAATGGTATATCTAACGAGCGATTGCAGCCCTCCGAGCGTGCATTTTACCGGGGCCTTTATTAACGAATAAACTTTCGTCTCTTTAAATGAACGACAAGAACCGTAACCCGACTTATTGTTCCATTTTATTCTCAGTTCGTTTTAAGTTACGTATTAAACGCGGATATTTGTTAGCAGTCGCTGCACCTCGCGGCTCCCACTATTCTATATTATTTACGGAACGCCGAGCTCTTCGAACTCGGTCCACGTACCCGCAACGAACATCGTGAGGCATGGGCAACGTGGATCCACGATCCAAAAGGATCTTAATGATCTCGTAATTGTCCCTGTGCGCGGATAGAATCAGAGGCGTGATGTCTGGTGTGAACGTCGCTGTATCCGGCGGCACCGCCTCCCAGCTCTGAAAGAACAAAATACTCTTTTTACGCGGATCCAAAATTATATTCGAATTCCACTGCAGAATTTATTAAAAGACAGAAATTACGAAGAAGCGCCTCCGTCGCGGGAAAGTAAATCTCATTTCCCGTCGCGGAGGCGTTAAAAAATTGATCTCGCGTTAACTTTTTACAGCACGGTGGCCGATCGCGTGGAAAGTGTCTATTCGAGCACAGCGATTACTCGCCTCGCTGCTTTGCAAGACATTTCCACGGCGATCAGTAAACGCTCTTTTTTGATAACAGGGAAACATGCTCTTAAGGGCTCTCAAGTATCTACTCGCCTTTTCTTGCGTTTTTGATACCACTACCACGCTAAACAACGAATAAAGTAAAATACCACAAGCAACGCTCGTCTCCAGATACATTCTAAATAAAAAAAAACGAATTCGAGAAGCTTTATTTTTCGCATACTTAAAATTAACGAAACGAGAGTGTTTAAATAATAATATATTTTAAAGATAAATGATACACGGTCTACGATTCGTGTATTAGTTACGCGCGTAAGCCGATCGAAATTAAACTTCCCGACGCTGGATTTTCGCGAGTTTTCCTTTTTTCTCCGCGTCCAGTCCCGATGAGATTATCGCGGGTACGTGTGCTCATTTGCATGCCACGCCGGAAACGAGATTCGATCGGTCGTTTTCCCGAGGTCCGCCGATCCCCGGAAACTCAAAACGGTTCCCGAATTTGTAGACTAGGGGCAAATCCGTATCGTCCCATGCATTCTTCAAAGGGACAGCTTAGAACGGTGGCGAACACTGCGAATACCTCTCTCCAAAACCGATCGAAGAATGTTTCGACGGATCGTGGGGATTAGGTTAACATGCGGGTCGACCTATTTGCCGACGGAATCCTCTCACGACTATCTCCTACAGAGAACCAAAGGAGGAATTTGGATAACTGAAACGAGATTGCGTGGGCGCGAGTAATGCTGGTACTTTGGCTGATCGTTGGACGCTTAAAAGTCGATCGATCGGCGTTTGAAAAAAACAGAGAAAGCAAGAAGATGGAGAGGAGGACGCAGGGTGGTGCAACTCCCCGAAACAATTCGTGAAAGCGACTAACGTGACGCTCCCCGTTCCTGTGGAGGCTCTCCTCGTGCTCCAGGAGGACCTCGACCGCCTCGACGAATTCCTCGGAGATGGCATGCAGAAGCGCGTCCTTGGTGTCGACCTTGTGCTCGATCAAAAGCTCCACCATTTCCAGGTTCTCGTTATCGATCGCCATGAGAAGAGCGGACCGTCCCAGCGGATCCACGCAGTTGATGTTCATCTTCGATTCCTGAGCCCTCTGCAGCATCCTGAAACAACATCCGGCACGTTCGCTCCACTGCTAATGACCGTTCCCCTCCACGTCGGTCTACATATCAGCTTTTTTGTCCGCTCGATGCACTCGTTACTCCCACTAAACCACCCCCCCCCCAACCTCGAACGCCATTTTTCTACTATCTAGGTAGGACTTATCGGTAAAGTCGAGGGTGAGAACGAATCTTGGGCTCACGAAATAAGGATTAAGCGGTGGATTATTCTCTTTTTTAATTCTTTGACGTACAATGATTGGAACAAGGAAAGTAAAATCCCGTGGGAATTAGCATAATCGCGCGATACGAGGGACAAATTCGTATTTCGGTCCGGGGAGGTGCCCGGAGACCGAGCCAAATGAGAATTCCACCGGCCGGTGAAACTTCTTCGTAGATCGCAATCGGTATTAAATTGCGTCCGCGGCATCGCGGTTAAGAATTCCTGGAAGTTTCGGGATCGCGGAACGATCGCTCGTAGGATAATTAGATCCTTTGTCGGCGCAGTGCGCGCGATAGTGGAACGTCTGCCGCGCCTTTGCCCTTTTCCCGCGAGATTTCTCGTCCTCTTTAACCCGCGAGACCTATATCCGACGGACCTCTGCCCCCGCGTGCATGCTCATTTGCATAGAAACAACGATGCGGCAGTTTCTATATGTTGTTTGTTCGTGGCTTCCGACCGGAGTATTTGTAGTTCGTGACGCGGCCGCATCGGAATGTAACGAAAACAGTACGATGGCTTTCGGTTGTATTCCCGTCACGGCGATTTGCATTCCCGATATTAGACGCTTATAAATTTCCCACCGTGTACCCTGATTAATCGCCCACCCTGCCAACGATATCGTTTTCAGATTTTTCACGATATCCACCGGCGCGGTTCCTCGATCTTTATCACCCCGCAACCCTCGTATGAAAACAAATTAAAATACACGAGCAAACTATTTTACCAACTTTTAAACAAATTGAAAGCTTGTAAAAAGTTATTAGTAATTCACGTTATCTTTGACCCCACGCGATTATAATTTTCAGGAAACTGTAGCGACGAGGGGTTGGAATGTACGTGCGTCTTATTTACGAATGATTAAACGCTCGTCCGACCCTACACGTATGTACGCGAAAATCCGCCTAATTCGAGTAACGAGCAATCTCGTTTTCGTCGAGGAGGCGACACGGAAGAATTAGCGCGCGCTCGAGGGTGGTTTTTTCGAAGCTCTCGGCCCCTCGATGACCAAGTAAAGTTTCTTTAACTTCGCGCGTGGGCGTTCGAGCGTACTATCGGACGTTCCGAAGCGTCGAACGGACTCTCGACGTTAATTTGGACGCGAATTTCATCCGACGACGGAATACAGGGCGGGGCGTTTAAGACGGATTGCTTGTACAACTCGTTTATTTTTACGGACAGAAGAGAATGCTCCGGACAGATGTAATTTGCTTTCATGGGGTAGGAATATTTATAGGGGAAAGAACTTTTCGAGATTAATTACGTTCTTTTATGCGGAACGATGACCTAAAGTTCGTCGAGGATCGCCAAAGGACATGTACACGGAATGATTTTATTTTCAGAGATGGATATAACAATTCAGGAATTTGCATTTTTACATTCCAAGTTCTAATTTTAGTGTCCGAAATGGAGGCCTTGAACGACCATACGTGCTCCAAACTGGTTTGATATCGATTTTATAGCGTTTCAAGTTTTATTTTCGCCTACTGCAGCACAAGTTCTTGCCCGGCTTTTTGTACAGTCGGTTAATTGTTTTATTATTACAACTTGATCTACCTCCAGCATACGTTGACTAGAAATTAGTTTTAGTTTTCTAAAAATATAGTACACGCGAAAATGTCTTAAGCGCCCTGCGCTGTACGTCGGATGAAACAATAAATTTGTCGTTCTTCGACGGTGATCTTTCGGATTCGATACGGTTTTCCCGTTCACGAAGAAGAAGCCAATTTTTATTTTCTCGCTCGTCGTTCGCGAAACGGGAAAGAGTCGCGTCGAATCCATAATTCATCCGACACTGTTTCGTCCTTAAGCTCCGAGGGAATCCATTTGTAAATTGAGATTTTTGCCTCCTGGAACTTTTATCGGGCCCCGCTACTTTAACGTATGACTTTTCAATTTTCCAAATGTCGACGGTCTCACCTTCTTACGGAGGCCACGTCTCCGCGCTCCACCGCGAGAAGATACTTCTTCTCATGGTAGCTCAAACTGGCCATTTCCTGGTGCGGCCTCACCACGTTCTCCTCCTCGTTCATCCCGTGGATGCTGTGTCTCTGAAACCATCGTAACTTTTTATTACACTACTGCTCGTCGATTCGATCGCGACCAGTCTCGAAAAATGAAGCTTCTCCTCGATTCGTTTTTATTTCCGCCCTATTTATCGCCAAGACTAAACACCAATACCATATGCTTTGCTTCCTCTTGAACAATTACCAGAAGCTAGTTTTAATAAAAAGAATTCGATTCGTAGTTCGGGGATAAAATTACTCTCGCAACATCTAGCATCGCGTGACTTGCGACGCAATTTTCTCGGACCTCGAAACGTCCGGGGATGCCTTTTAACCGTTCTTTTCGCAACGGAAACGTCAACAGGGGGGATGATCGTTAGGATTATTGATCAAGGGGGCCGAAGGATGGAGGAAATTAGAACGACGAATATTCTTCGTTATTCCGTTGGACACCGAGAAACTCGATCCTCTCGAAAGTTTCATCGCGATGGTCAATTGCCAAAAGTTGGTTCGATCACACGGCCTCCTTCATCGCATCCGCGGACGCAATAACGCGTTTTAACTGCCGCGTTCTCGGAACCGCCAATCGTTTTTGCTCCGATCGGCGTTATTCAAATAACTTTAAGGCAATTACGAGCAGCCGGTAAACAACGCGGGTGTGCTATTTCGACGCGCGAAATTCGAGCAACGGGTCGGATCGTGATCGTCGATCACGTCGAGCGGCTTTGATCTCGTCGAAACGCTGTTGAAATCGATCGACTTTAAAGCCGCGGGAGACGGCAGCTTCGAAGTCGATCGTTCGTCTACGCTCTCCAGGGACATTCGGAGGCACGGGCGAGCGCGCGCGAGGATGAAACCGTGGATCGAAGCTGAAATTGGGACGATCGTAGGAGGGAACGAGGCAAGCAATTAACGAGTCGGATAGACCTCCATTGTTCGACGAGGAAACCTCTCGTTACGAAGCAACTTCTCGTTACGCCTGCCATTAGACTGCACACCGGCAAAGAATACCCAATGCGCCACGAGCGTAACACGCAAAGATCAAGCGTAAGCGAAAACAATGAGAGACCCGCCCTAACCGCCGCCCCGTTCAAAAGCGGTATTAACCTTTATGCCTGCGTACTTTCTTACAAACCACAGTTCGGGTTCGCGAGACTTTCTTCCTGCCGAGCATCCTTGAGCCCTAGATAACGTCGCGAGTGTATCTAACTGGCATAATTGTACCGGGGATGAAACTACACGATACAGTCATTACGTTTTTACATCGAGAAACATTTTATCAAGGGATGAATTGATTAAAAAAATTAATTTCTTTCTAATCGTACGATTATCGTTCCATAAAATTTCCGGATCAAATTCGCTGTTTTCCAGGCGATTTAACGCGCTCGTCCCGCTTTATTGCGGTGTGTATTATAGAGCCAGTATTAGGATCATAAATGTTATTAAAGGCAGCGAAGCGAGAGGTATTTGTTTTGCATCCCCTATTCGCAACGAAGGTTAGCCCCCGCGAAACTAGGATCGGAATAACTATCGGTAAACACCTTCGACCGAGGGGGGTAAAATCCTGTTCTCCGTGCACCCGTCTCCGGTAATTAAGCCGCCCTCCTCTCGACTCTAATCGCACAGTCGTCGCGCGTCCCCCAGCCCACAGCCTGTCAATTTTATTCGCGGGGAACGTATAAAAATTTTAGATCCTCTCGTAAATCAACTTTCAAACGGAATCCAATTTGCGGAAGCTTGTTTACGCATAGATCTGAAATTTTTATGCACCGAGCGTTTGAGGCGGGAAAACTTTATTTACTTTTGCCGATAAATTTTTGTGTTTCCGTTCGTATTAAGTCGAGAAAGTTAATCTCGTTGGTCCGCCACCCTCCGAAAAAACTACGTCGGATTAAAGGGCCGTCGAAGTCGAGGTTTGTTTCGAGCGGTTTCGTCCGCCGCCAAAAGTAAATGAGTTATTCAGGCGACCTGTCTTAAGTGCCTCGCCTAGCGTATCTGGTCCCGGTGGAAAAGGGTCGGTCTGCAGGGAAATGGAGGAGTACGAGGAGGCCAGGCGGACGATGATGGACAATGTTTGCCGAGGGTGTGGCGGCTCGACAATTAGGGTGCGCCCAAGCAAACACTCGTTGGCTGTCAGTTGTGGCCCTTGGCACAGTATGTCATCTTCTTGAAGCCGAGAGGGGTAATCGCGACCCACCCCCCTCCCGCCTCGAACCTCATTATTTCCTCCTGTCGGACATTCGCGGACGCTTTTCTTCCGTGGCCTCTTTATTCCAAGACGAGTTGACCGCGTCTCGAGCCTCGTAACGAGTTTCTGGACCGTCTGGGAAGCTCGTCGCGGTCTATTCTCGACCGTGGAACGATTTAGCCGCGGTTTCAGCGATCGAGGAGACTTCGACGCGTCGCCGCTGTCCCGCGAAACAAAAGAAATCGTGATAGATCGTTCCCGCGCGGAACAGGGGCAGCAAGATTGAATCGGACTTTGATAAAACCGCGGCGTCCCGGCTGAGTCTGACAGGTCCCGTTTCGTCGAGGACGTTCGGGAGCCAATAAAGGGATGAATTCACCGCTTTTCACCCGCGAACGGATGAAACGCGCGTTTAAAGGTACCGAGGGGGGGCCGACGATCGGGCGAAATCTTTCCGGGAAAGGCTCGTTTAAACGAGACACGGGTCTTTTCTGCCCTGTACCGGCGCTTACCCCGTTGGGCCTGCCTTCGCGAAGTCAACCCAGCCGTGCTTTTACGACGCAATAAAAATGAAAGCCTTGCTAGGAACTCGTAAAAGCCCGCATATGAGCGTTCCCGTTGTCCCCGTCTCGTTATGGCCTCCAGAACCGTACGGAGCAAATCGAGGAAAACAATTTTTCCCGGTTTATTTGCCAAGACGTTCCGGGATGATTGCAGCAAATACACGATCGCTAATTTAACCATCGCTGTTCGGGTCTATCCGACTTGTAATATTCTAGTAGAAAATAAAGAATTATGTTGGAAAAGTACACACATGTAAGTACTCAAGGAGCTGAATCTGTTATCCGAACGCTCATGTAGAATTCAATAGATTTCGAGTTGCGAGGTATACATAGAGGCCAGCTAAATATATTAAGTATTCCCTTTGGTAGCGATTTGCAACGACGGTTTGTTTTGCCGAGAAACGAGAGAATATCCTAGAATGATTGATCATGTGCGAATGCGTGACGAGGCATGCATCTAAATAAGCGGAAGTCACTCCGAACGTCTGCTGTCAAGATCCTTTGCAGCTCGGAATTAATTTACATTCATTACTTATTTCCTTATTTCAACTAGTACGATACGTAAACAAAATTTGGACGCGAATTACAACGTCGTCCAAGGGATAATTTTTTATTTCCCGAACGATGATTCCCGTTTCGCCTTCGCGAATCACGACCCTCCCCGATTGGATGATTGGTCGAATCGGATTATTCTCGATTATCAAAATAGCGTTAAACTCTATCTTCGACCGGATAGTTCTCGCGACGATTCGCTTCCATCTTCGTGGATCGCGGGGGGGGGAGAGTTTCGAGATGGCAATAAAAGGGCGGACCGCGACGACGGGAGGAACTTCCGCCGATTCGCGACGACAACTTCCACAAATTGGATCGACGTCGTAACGCTGTTACCGTTCGCCCGCTTATTTCTATTCTTGCTTCTGCTTTTCCCTCGTCCCACGAATCGTTCTGTGAATTTTTATTACATCTCCGAATTCGATCGAACGAATCGTCCATAATAAACCGAACCGAGAACTACCCGCGAATCGTCGCTAGATCGAACGATAAATTCATACAGTCTTCGTTTACCCCCTATGGACGTAAAAATGTACGTTTACTCGTGTACCTTTTAAAGACGATGACTTACCTTGACCTTATAGTCATCCTTCGGTTTGTCGAGGAGGTTGCTAGTTTGTTGCATGGTTTGGGGTGGCGGCGGGGGTGCCTCGGGGTCGAAGCTCACCCGGTGCCCGACGCCCCGCAGGAATCCGCCCCCGGCGCCCGACGCCCAGGACCTTGTCGCTTTGGTACCCATGCTCCTCAAGTTCTCGAAAGCTTCGTTAGGATCGCCAATTTCTTCGTCGACGCCGCTTGTTTCACCAGGGGATCTCGCGCCCCTGGCGACTTGCTCCTCATCTTCGTACGTGCTTTCTGAAACAGAAACTTTGATCAAGGGTTGAACGCGTAACCGTGCACGGTTTAATATCTTGCACGCGTAGCGCGCCAAACTAATCTTGTGCAACTAGTGGACGAAGGGTTAAATGAAACAATGGCTCGTTTCTAACGTAATGAACTACCAACAACAAATATGATTAACTAGCGGATGCCGCGGAGCTTCGACCATGTAGATAAAATGAACGTTTGTATGTTTGGCTAAAATTTACTTTGTTCTAGCCCAGAAATTCGACACAGTGTTCCGTGTGTAGTTGGAGCAAAGTCAGAAATGTTTTCTATAATCTAGGGTGGACAATCAGGGTTTCTGAGCAACAAAACACTTACTTCGGCTTGCCGTCGATGAGTCACGAGCCAATTAATGTTACCGTGGGACGAGACGGGTGGGCAGCACTGGGACTCGCGCGACGTTCGAGCACAGAATGGGAAGTGGTGGGGGAAGGGCCCAGCGCCGACTGTGCCCGCCAGTCTACGTATGCGCATTTCATACTTCACCCTATTTGAATTGAAAATCCTATTTGATATTGACCCATGACATCTATCAATTTTTTCACGACGTTGTGCAACATCATTGGGAAATTTAATTCTGAATATCAATCGTTATCCACGCGTTGTACAAAACAAAAAACTAACCGTATACGACGTCGAGCGCCAGTATCCTTGAAGAGGTTACATAAGATTCGAAAGCAGGTCTTTACGGAAATTCATCGACTCGATCGTACCCAATTTCTGATATAACGTTCCACGCTGATGGAAAAGTTACGAACAAACAAAAAAACACTTCTTCCCTCGCTTCTTCGTGTGCCATTTTAAGAACGTCTGAGAACAGTTTTTCTTGACAGTAGTGAGATTGATACCGAACATAATAATATATTGGATATCTTCGCGATAGTAACAACAATATCGGATATCGATGTTCACCGATAGATGGACACGTTCGATTCGAACGTTTCCGTCCGCAGGTGCACTCGATATTAAATCGTGCAGCAGTTGGTATCGAGTGGCGCGACACCCACCCAAGCAACTTTTATTATTTCCCGCAAATCGTCATATCGCCGGGAATGCAAATAGAAAGAACCGCGCCAAAATGGCGGAGTTCCTCCGGCCAGCGATGCGAGAAAACTACGAATGAAACGGAACTGGATACACCCCGTTGGTAATCCAAACGGATGATAGATCGAGGGACACACTCTCCCTTATTGATTTTGGGCAAACATATACGCGAAACATGCCGATAGCAATTCTCTGCGTCGTAATTTTCGGACTTTTCGCGTCCGGGGCATCGATTCCATCGCAAATCCGAAACGAAGGATCACCCAGATACGCTGCTGGACCAAGACTTGGTGAAAAAAATCTTTTTCGCCCCCTTATAAATATAACATGACCCAAACTTACGTCAGTGGCTGTGAATTCATCGAAATCCATTTAAATTCTCAAAGTCGTTTTCGAGATCTATTTTTACGGATCTATAAAATTCCTTTCGAATCGATACCACGACTGACATTTAATCGCGCGGCAATATAAATAAATTGTACATCATTTAGCGATATATGTGTTAAAGAACGAACAACGCGATTCAAGAATAATAAAATACGGTCACCGCCAATGGGAAGATAAATATTTGTTTTCGTTTCGATGGGAGAACGTAACGAGAGACTTACGATCGCCGAAATGTCCTACGCTCGTCGAGTATTCGCTCGATCCTTCGAACGGGAATAAACCGCCTGGTCGTTTTACGCGCGAAATTTATTCGATCGCAAATTCGCGATCAAAAGTTCCCGTTCCGTCGAATTGGTCGCGTTTCAATGGCTCGTTCACGAGTGGAGATTGTTTCCCGGGTCGTTATTAAAATTTAAAACTCGCTGGCCGAAGAACGGAACGCGCGAACCAAGGGATTGAAATTTTCACAGCGCCAACTTGTCTCGTTCATATTTTCCATTCGTTCACGCTGTCCGACCACGGACGAGCGAATTTTATTGACCGCATTATGGTCGTCCGATTGGACGTCGTCGGCCGGTCACCAAGGAATCGCGTGTTTTCGTTCGCTCGCGGTTTATTTGCATCGGCAAGTCGCTAATGCACGAAGAAATAAACGAAAGAGAACTTCTATCTCCGCTTTTTACCGCTCACCCTTCAACGATCTCTGCGGGAACAGTCAAACAAATTTATATATTTATTTATTCCCGCGAAGGGAAACAATCAACGATACCGTCGAAGACCAATTTTTGCAAAAATATCGGAGCTTTTATTAATATTTACGCAAGGTGTTATGGGAAACACAGTCGCGCGGGATGGAAAAATATTCATTTTTCAACGGCGGACCGGTATAAGTAGCTTTCAAAGATTCTGCGAGCGAGATCGCAGAGACGCTGCTTTCCGTGGAATCGTAAGAAACAAGCTCAAAGCTCCAGACTTTTTGCCGGAAGTCGTCCGACGTCTGTGTACCATCTCGAGACGAAAGACAGACTCTTTAAATAGGTAAGAAAGAGTTCCAGGTTAGTTCTTAATATCTCGAACAAAGCGTAACCGAGCCAACTGCTCGTGTCGTTCTATCGTTCGCTCGGCAGTAACCGGAAACTTCCCGAGAACAAGAAGTTTGTAAATACCTTGGAAAACGTTTAACGCCTCCGAGGGAACGTTAAAAAATATATGTGGTGCTAACTACGAAATATCTGGCTCCAACGTTCACCCGTTCGGTGACCGGAAATGGCGGAGACTGGATCACTCGTGGAGTGAACTACCAGGAAACGCAATAACATACAGAATCGCCCGTGTCGGAAGTTCTGAAATTTGTCACGGATGATTTACCGAAAAGAGAATCTCGCTAGTGACTCCAGGAGCCATAATTCGCGCGGGGGAGGGATTAACCGAAAACTTGACCGTCGTAGATCCACGCAGCGCGAAAGAAGCTTATCTCTGCGGTTCCCTCGGCATCGGAACTTCGACCCCGTGCGGGTCGTTGAGCTTACCGCGAATCACGTGTTTCGAGTTCAGCTTAGATCGATAGCCTCGAGTGCGAACGTACACGTAACTCCAACGAGTCGACGAGTTCCGTGAACCGATGCGTGACCCTGTATCGGTTCCAAAACGAGAATCAAAATAGTCCTCGCATCTCCGGGGGACGGGCGCAGCCCTTCGACGGGAATAATATAAATTTCTCGCCGGTCAGAGACCAAAGTTCAGGGAGCTATTTTCGAGAACGGTCGATAATCGCCAGCGGCTGCGAACTTACACGGAATGCTATTTTACGATGCTTTTCGTTGCGATATTATTATTTCACGGTCCTGGAAGAAACTCCTGGCGGGGCTGAAATATTGTACTCTTTTAATATCGAAATTACGAACATTGTCTCGTTCCTCTGGACGTTTTTTTTCGTTAAAAAATTACAATTATAAATAGAGACGGAAGTAAATTAATCAGAAAAATAGGAGCCTTTGAAAGCAAGGACCTTACAAACGAACCAGCAGTGGCAAAGAATCCGCCTTCGTCTCGCGTTCAGCGAGCCAGAACGTTGAAATAGAGTTATGTGGTTGAATTTGCGGGGGCGGTAAGAATAACAAAGACTCCAATTTTATATACGCAAAACAAAGGAGTGCATAGCCGGGAAGAAAGACTGGCACCATAAACGTCGCAATAATCAGGTTAAGGAACTACTAAGGATCGAGAGAGTACGAATCTAGAATGGGTTGATAAAGCACGAGGTGAACCGTTACAGTGGCGTAATTTTTTATTCCTTTTAAACGCATTGCTATTCCGACTGTGCTCCTTTATATGTAAATGCTTTGTTAAGTGAAATTTTTTTCCTCTGAATATTTCATGCGCTTGTACTTTCTCTGTTTTTCTTTCCCTAGAGGGCCAAGTGAAATTTTAATTCGATGGAGGGTTGATTCAACCCTGCGAGTCGGATCAACGTCCCACGATCGAGTCGTTCTCCCGAAATCAACCCCCGGGGTCTGGCCATCGAAATAAACGTTCCTTGGCCGTGATTCTCGGTCCGATTATAAAGTCTCGGTTCGCTCGTAGGAACGTAACAATCGGTCCAGCGGCGTTTGCGCTATGCGCGGGGTCGTTTTACGTCTGCCATTAAATCCGGTTACGACCGCAGCCGTACCAGCCACGCAACGAAAGACGCCGCCTGCCTGCAATTTTCCCGCAATCGATGGATCTCTCGTCGGGGTCTCGCGTCGTCGATGCAAAGCTCCCGGGCCTCGTCGAGTGGTTAATGGAATCACGTCGCGAGAGCTACGAAACGCGCTACTTAATCGACGATCGGAATCAGGACGGAACTGCAGGTCGACCTACGCGCCAGTCGAGCCTACCGCTGCACCTGTTGCACACCCCCGCACCTGTCCAATTGTTTCCCAGAAGCTGCTAACCGTGTTCAAACTCTTTGCCATCCGTCTCTGGTATTTACCGCCCGACGATCACTCGATCGCCGGATAATTCGTGCCCCGTGCACATCGTCACTCGCCCAAGTTCCGAGGATCAAAGTTTCGTCCAAGGAGAGCTGCTCGGGGTAAACGTTGCACCGAGGCGTGAATTCAAGAAGTTGCGCCTAGTTTCTAAGCGCTGCTCGCAAGTTTCGTCATTGGGAAACCATTGATTGTCGATGGTGGAACTCGAAATCTCGAGTGTAATCAGAGTTGGGTTGGACGACGTTGTGATCATGAAATTATGATTCTTTCGATTCGATTTGGGATTCCAGGGTATCTCGACCCTCGATAGAGAGGCTGTCTTGCTTTATCATTTTGGCAGCCTGAAAATCGCGCGAACACGTATTCGTACTTGCACGCGAGTCTATCGCCGAGAAAATCGGCGGACCGTTGAACGATCGAGCATATTCGTTCGTGTGCGATTCTCTGTCCGAATTCGTCCGTAATTATGCAATCGTGTGC